AATTGGACAAAGGACAACAAAACAAGGCCTTAAAATCGATATTTATCGATATCATTTTTTTTTTATTTTAAAATAATAAACTTGATGTGAAGTCATCAGACCTGAATGCCTTATCATACTATGCAACTTGGTAACATAATAATTTCAATTGTTCTATATCCATTCAATTTTATTATGCGAGGTGTGTTCAGTAAGTACACCGAACTTTATGCTTTTTCGAAAGAGCTTAAAAAAAAATAAAATAAAAATATGAATATCTATTTTATAGCCTTGAAAGCAATTCCCATACAGATATTCTACACTTTAGTCAACGTTTTCGATCCTAGAACTTAGATCCTAGCTATTAGATTCTAAAGGTACTTCAAAGCATCCTTTTTTGTTAAGTTTGCTCAACTGCTCCTTCGCTGCCGTCTACAGCAGCTCAATCGTAGCATAGCATCGACCTCTTCAGTATTTTGGGAACAAGAAGAAGTCACAGGCGTGTCTTGTTTTTGGCCAAATTTGTGCCACAGATTCATTGCTTAGATGAGAGCTTTAGAACTGGACGAGCTAAGGCACATGACCACCAAAGGAAAAGTCACAAAACAAACCAAAATCGAAAACTGGCGAAACTTTTTGAACAGACGTCGCACAAAGTGCAAAGTATCTGTGCACAGAAAATAAACACATTAACATTTACAATTACTAATTACTTAAATCTTTATATATATGAATATTTATATACGCATGTATGTCTGGGTGTGATTGTGTTTGTGTGTGTGTGTTAGCTGTTTGTTTGCATCACACAAATAAATTTGCGGTGATTTGTTGAGTTGCGATGGCCAAAGCGCATTAAGCTGGCTGCAACCCACATAAATACAGCTCAGCAGCATTTAACTACTCAGCGATTACACACACCCACGCACACACACACATGCATACGTATAAACACCGCCACAAATGCTTCATGTGTGCAAACAAAGGACATCTTTGTCTGTCTGTCTGTCTGCCTGTGTGTGCGTATGTGCTTAATGTATGTCCTTAGCAAAATGTGCTCAAAGTTAAAGGTAAGCAACTTCACTAGAGATGAGCGCGTGACACGAACAAGAAATTGTTGCATACTCAAAAGCGCAAAAGCTGAAGAGACACGAAATTGAATTTGATCTTAGATTGCAATTTTCTATTTATAGAAGAAATGAATAATTTAAAAAAATATTTAAAAATATTTAAAATAAATTAATAAAATAATTCACTTGAAATCTAATTTTAGTCTAACTCAAGACAAAAAATTAATTGAAATAATAACAAAAACTTTAGTTAAAATACCTGAAAATCGTGCTTAAAATTAACTCTACGCCCATCGCTAGTCAGAATCGAAACTTCTGAGCGGAGCGAGCGAAACCATAAAAAAAACGAACTTCATTTATTCGCAAAGAAATAAATCTTTTAATGCACATTGGAGAGTCGTTATTCGGGCATTGTTTTCTCATTTGCCACAACACCTCCCAGCACACACACACACCCACACGCACACAATTGGGGGGCATATGTCGTGCGGCGCGGCCATCGACTGGACACTTTTGTCCAGTGCTGCCTCACTGAGCAAATGAACTTTGAATGGTTCCATGTATTTCAATGATTCTAATTATGAAGACGCCCTGCCCCGCCCCGCCCTGCACCGCACCGCCCACTACCCCACGCCCTGTTGCTGGCACAAAACTTTCTTAAGTATCGCGTGCATCATTGTTATTGTTTTTGTCCTTGGACGAGCAGCCCAAATTGCTTTGTTGTGTGCCTCGCACACACACATATCTCAAGATACACGTATATGTGTGTGTGCACATCCTGTAACTGTTTCAGTGCGTGGGCGGTACGCTCATTAGGTTTCCTGTGCCGCCTCGGTTCGGTTATGGCCCATGCAAAATGTCCCACAAGGGGTAGCCATTTGTCGCGTTTCTCCTGTTCCAGCTTTATGTTATGTGTTTATGTGGCCATTTCTATGTGTGTGTGCGTGTGCTCGCTGGTGACCTGCGAAAATGCCTGTGTCAAGTTGTGAGTAATAATGCGGAAATGCCAAAGAATAGAACAACCAAAATACGCTCGTAAATAGCCCAGAGTCGAACCTTTTCATGCTAGCCGAATGCGAAATACTCTGAAATTAAACAAAAAAATATATATAAGATATATATAATTATTAAAAATAATAAGCAATTCTATATAAATATTATCATTTTAAAAATGTTTAAAAATATTTTTTTATTCTAAATAATTTATTTTTTTTTATTTTATTTTATTTTTTAAATATATAAAATGTATTATTATTAAAAATAATAAACAATTCTATATAAATATTATAATCTTAAAAATGCTTAAAAAATATTTTTTTATTGTTATTTATTTTTTTTTTTTATTTTATTTTACTTTTTTTAAATATATAAAATAAATCATTTTTAAAAATAGTAAACAATATTATATATTTATTATAATTTTAAAATTAAAAATATTTTTTATTCAGAAAAATTTATTTTATTTTTTTTAAACTAAATCAAAAAGCAATGCTACAAATAGACAAGCCATATAAACCAGGCCATTTCTAAATGAAAGCAGAAAACCAACTTGAACTCCTCTCTTACTCCTATGAATTATGTAAAATATATATTAAAAATTTATTAAAAAATAATTAACTTTACCATGAACTTTACCATGAACTTTACCATGAACTTTACCATGAACTTTACCATGAACTTTAATACTAACTTAACAAATAGCTTTTTCATGAACTTTACTTGTTTAATTAACTTGTATAAACTTGATTCTGAACTTTAACACGAACTTGCGCATGGAGCTTACAAGGAGGTTTAGTTGCTGCTATTTATTTACCAATTCTCATAAGTATGACGAACTCAGTGGAACGTATTGCCCCAATTCATATAGCCCACATAATATTTCGTTGTATTTGATTGTGCTCCGCCAGCTGGCACGTAACATAACATATTTACCAGCTGACATGTGTCACAAAGTGGATGACATATGCGATTAGATCGCTTAATTCGCAACTGACAAATGTGGTGGGAATGAAAGGCACATTAATTAGCTGTACGTGTCCATGCATTACAGAAGCAGTTGTTGTCCTTTTCGTTGTTGTTCCGGCGTCGTTGTTGTTGTTGTTATTGCTGTTGGTGTTTATGCTGCGCGAGTTTGTCAAGCCGAACCAAATGACTAAAAGCTGTGACCCACGCGCGGCGAGGCGAGAGCTCGCTGATGCCTCTCAGATGGATGTGCACATGGACCACGTACATAAGCACATAATTACGAATCTTTCTTGTTCTCTTCATTTATTTTATTTCGTTTTGTTGTTTGGCTCTTGCTCGCAAAGTTAAATTGCAGAAATCGCAAACTTTACTATCTGCAAGCAGAAAAATAATGGAATTGTGTAATTAACGAGACTCCAGGGTAAAGACTTGATGAAATGCCCTGGCCAAGAGTTATGCTCGCATAGAGAAATTGTCGCCATTCAATCTTTAGCTTGACTTTAACCAAATGCCCAGCAACTTTTGCAAAGGGCAGGCGTAGCTATGGGGATGAGAGAGGGAGGAAGAGTGTGAGAGAGAGAGAGAGAGTGAGTGTGAGAACTTACATAAATGTAGTTCATCAATGATTACAAATGTTTGAGGAGAAATTTTGCTTGGTCGGATGCAACCAGCTGCTTAATGCTCGTTCGCGCACATTTTAAGAGAAATTGGTTTGATAGACACAGCTTTAGGGCATCTTTAAGAGTTTCAATGTATCTAGAGCTCTTCCCTCATGCTAGTTAAGTCCAAGCAATTATAAAGAGCCTAAAGTAAAACGAAATTTCAAGTCTCTATTATTAGACGTTTAGACATTCAGGCAAACTAACTAAATGGACTAAAACTTCACTAATATAAAATATTATTTTCCGATTGGGCATAAAAAGTGGAAAGTGATTTTCATCAGATTTCCTATATATAAATACAATACCATACCAAGTTATGCCAAAGTTGTCTAAGCTAATGCACTCTATATATAGTTATACTGCTTATATGTTATACTGGCTCACGTTGAGTTAGGTGAGTATATTGGCTTTGGCTTTTGCCTTTGATACAAGCCAATTTTCCCGTCTTAACATATCATTTGTAATATATAGATTGATAAATTATTAAATTGAATACGCCCACTGGAGATGTGGTTTATCAAGTGTTACTTTATCTCTTCTGAAGTCGAGAAATTGGCAGTCTCTAGCTCTGGCTAAGGCCTAAGGGCTAATAATATTTCGTAGTCTTTTCAACTACTACTGCTTAACCTTTGGCTTAGAGCTTCCACAAATTTCTTTAATATTTTGACAATATCTAAATTTGAGCTATTCTTAAATTCTAAACTAATTTGGCTTAATTATACGAGATGTGTTCAATGAGTATCGTTTATTTCGTGCTTTTTTAGTCATATTAATTTATTTCCCTTTATGAAGAGCTATTTCAGATATTCCATAACGTCCCATTCTATAGGAATCTAGAGGAAAAAATGTGGAATAAATCAGATTTTTTGCTATAGGTAACAATTGAAGTACGAGTGCATCATATTATTTATTTATATATAGTAAATATAATTTATTTTATTTTATTTAATTTTTTTTTAAATGCAAAGCTTGAATGAAATGGTTACTTTCAGCAGAAGAAGAAATAGCTTCATAGAAACGTGGTAAAAAAAATAACTATAATCATTTATAAAAGTTCAAAATGTTCTTAAAACTATACTTTAATCTCGGCCAAAAAATGCTTGGATATTAAAAAAAAAATTAATAATAAATTGCATAAGAATTAAAAAAAAAAAGTTAAATACTAAAATATATATAAAACAAGAATTGAGTACAATAAAGGGACCTATAATAATATGATATATATATATATGTAACACATATATATATAAACCGAAGGTCGTGTAGAGGAAGCTATAGAAGAAAAAAATGCCATTGAACAATATTCGGGTGAGAGCGCAAAAGCCAATTAGAAAATTTGCTTATAGTTGGTCGAATTGTCGGCTCGTTGCAAGGTTTTCAGTTTTTTTTTGTTGGGCTTAAAGGCCAGGGGCTGTGCCACGGCGGCGACATTGCGATCCGTACGGGTGGCGGGCATATCGTAGGGAGTACGCACGATTTCCGGCAGGTGGGCATAGTAGACGACGCGTTCGCTGCGGCTGCGGGGCGACGACAGCTGTTGCGGCAGCTTGGACGAGGCGTACTTGTTGCTGTAGGAGTCGAGCACGGGCATGGTCATGGGATCATCCAGATAGCCACGCCTCGACTTGATGTAGTCAGTCGGCGGCGGCGTATCCAGCTGACGGTCCGGATACATGAGATATGGCTCTGGATATTGGGGGACTCGAGGACTGTAGCTGTCATAGGGATCGAAGCGCTGCCGATGCACATACATGTCCTCATAATAAGGCGGATAGGCGCGATGGTACTGCTCATCGAATCTGGGGGGGGGGGCAAAAGTGTGCCAAATCAGGGAAATGCTTTAAAGCGCACACAAACTCACCTGTCGTAGCGTCTGATGTACGGGTCATACGACCTGGACGGATACATGGCAAGCGACTTGCCCGTATACTGTCCATACCAGGGCAATGGGTTGGCCATCCTGTCATCGCCTGACTTTCGTATATAGCCCAAGTTGTGGTCCCGGCCAGGTGTGCGTATCGCTGCAGAGCCGCTCAGATCGTTGTCACCTGGCGCATTGTCGCTTGTGCGTCGACCTGTCGTATAGTAATCATAGTCAGCATATCTAGCCGAGGACTTGCCAGCTGCTATCAGCTGTTTGCCCGTTGCTCCATGCTCCACGGACTCGGCTGCCTCCACATCTATCATGCTGTCCGCATGCTCGAGCTCAACATTCCGATTGGTGTGCTCGTAGCCAGGCTCCGCATTCACTGCAATTTGCAGAGAGCACAATATGAACAGACTTTTCAATTCCATCTCGATCCGATGCCAACTGCAGTTGCCAGTTGGCCAAAACAGACTGATGCCAACCGGCTGCCACTAGACAAATAGATGAAGCCACGCAAATGGTTAACAATAATCCGGCGACATGCTAAGTTAAACTTCAATAGGCAATTGTATTACTTTATTTGCTTCGTTCGTTTGATTCTATGGTCATTCTATTGAGTCCGTGAAGCGCAAGAGTGCACAATTCAAGTGAAGCAGCAAACTACCCACGCGAATACCCACTATTCGCTGAACGAGGTAGTGCTCGGCTCCTCTAATCACATGTTTGTCAAATATTTGCTATAAAAGCAACAGTAGACAGAGTACCGACTGCATAATACTCGTTCACTTGTCAGAAACATATGTATTTATTTGGAACTCAAGCAACAAGGACAGATCTTTCATTTATGAGTCTATCTGTGCAGGAAGTTAACACTGATCAGCATGCCCCCAAGGATGAACCACAAAACTTTTGTGTCTATTTATGATGCTGAGCTCAGCATTGATACAACTGCAAAAGTTTTTAGACTTGGCTCTTAAACTATGACTATATAAACTATATATTTTAAACATATTCCCTAGTTTATAGTATCTAGTTGAGGGCATACAAAAGTCTAGCAGACAGGCAAACCTTCGACTGAACATTGCACACAATCAAGATACTCTCCCAGCACTGCCTGCACGGGCATAACAAATAGAAGCTTAAAACATACAAATAAAATAAATAAATTAAAAAATAAAATATACATTTATATATAAGAATCATATTTAATTATGATATAATTAAACATACAACAATAAGAGACAACTAAACATTGGCGCAAAATGTTTACAGAGCAACTCAAGTCAATACGCTCATTGAAGTACAGGTGCGCCGCCATCTAAAATTGATAGCATTTTGTACTTATTTAACACACGCAAACACACACACACAGTTGCACGGCCGCACAGCATAGAAATGCATTCACTTTGAAGTTCAGAACAATAACAACTCGAACTTGTCCAAGCTACGCTCTGTTGGCTGCGACAAACTGCATTTTGTGTTTTGCATATGAAAACAAAGCCAGAGGCAACAACACGGACACGGGCACGGGTTCGAACTAACGGTATTTCTAGGCTAGAAGTAATATGTAAGGGCTTGTCGACTCAGCAATTCAATAAGAGTTCAATTAATTGTGAATTTAATTATTATGAAATTTGTATTACAAATATATATTTCATAAAATTTCATAAATTTAAATTATCAAGTCTTAAATTTAAAAGTGATATAAATTAGTTTTGAATAACAAATTAATATATATATTTATATAGTATGTGTGTAAATCATTTGTAATGCTGGACAATTTAACTTCATCTTCCGCTTTTTCTCTAACTATTAGTTAAAAAATAATCATGTTTTGTAGCTGTGACAGCGTTGACCCAAAATGTATTGATTCGGGCAGATTTTTAATTTGCAACAACCATCTTTGGCAGTCTAGACACTTTCGCTGGCGATCCTCGCGTGTCACATCGACGCCCAGTCCGATGGCAGCCCAAGAGTCCAGATTTTCTTGGATTGTTGGCAAGAAGTTTGATAATATGATACGCAGCGTATCGCAGGCTCTTGTGAAATGACTGCAAATTACAATTATTAACATTATTTATGGTCGGACTTAATTGCAATGCAATTTACTCACAATTTGTGTTGACTTTGCAACAGTTCATACAGTTCGGGTAATACAAACGTACAAAAATCCAAATTCAACGAAGATCTAAATTAAAATAAATGTAAAAAATATGTAATAAAAAAACACAAATACACGCTCGTATCACTTACGGCTTCTCCAGTATTGCACCTAGAAGATCTATAAAAATGGAGCGTCCAGCTGATTTGGCCAACCTAAGTGCACTTAGCACATCATTAACACTGAAAACAAAATCAAAATCTATGAGTATCTCTAATGAATTTGGAGATCTTGAATAGCTCACCGCGTGGAATTGCGTAGCAAATCGAGACTGGCTTGCCGATTGCTCAATTCCTGCAGCACAGCTTCATGCGATCTTGAGAGCATATCAAAGTCATATTGTTCATCAATGAAATTGCGATTCATATTCTTGCCTGAGGTAGGTATCAAGTCTGGGCGGTAATTCATTGTTTGCTGCAATAACACAATTATTTCACAACAGTTTCAGATATTAAATCGTCTTCATATTCTAACAATTCAATACGTACGTGCGTATGCTTCTCCTGGACCTTCGTCTGATTCGCTGTTGTACGCATATCGAGGGTCGTGCGGGATCTCATTGGTGGCTTTGTAATAATCTCCACACTTATGTTTTTCTGCTGTGCGTTCTCTTTGTAAAACTGACTCTGCGATCCCATCATCGTTCGCTTGTTCTTGTTGACAACAGTTGTGGATGTTGACTTCTTGAGTACCATATTATCGTCGAGCTTATGCAGTTCCATTGAACTAACTGAAGATGCCTGTCCCAGCTTATTGCTGCCAAATATTGCCGTCGAAGTCTGTTTGGTATTGCTCATTGCAGTATTTCTTTTGTGCAAAGTTGTTGTTGTCTTCTTAATAGATTTCGATGAGGCATTTATTGTTGATGCAGGTACTGTCTTGTAGTTGCTGGCTGTGTAGTTCTGATTGACTGGAAAATCTTCTGCCATTTCACAATTATCATAGTTGTTTAGGATTGGCGGATTGCTGTCGTTTGGACTATACTCAACATCATTTGCCGTTTCACCCTTTTCTACTGAGTATATGCTATAACCTTCTGGTACGTGCAATGAACTTGGCCCATAAACGTTCAAAACGCGACTGGAGCCCATATCGATGCCATAGCTATAAGGCAGATTATGTAATGATGACATTGACGTAGATTCGATATGTTCCAATGCAGCCTCATTGACAACTTCCAGACTCAAATTTGGGGACGATTGCTCGTCGTACGTTTGGCTTTTATTGTCTTCTTGCTCCTCCTCAACTTTGGCCGGCTTGGCTCCGCCCAGTGATATTCTAAACTTTTGGGTGCCGCGAGAAAAACTCTTTCGATTGGTTGAATTATGCTTAAAATTGGGCTGCGCATTTTCCGGTTGATAGAACGGTATCACACAATCAAGGCTAACTGTATTAATTGACACTGTATCAATTTCATGGCAGCCACAGATCTGTAAAGCAATCAAGATTTAATTAATACAGCTATATTTTCACCAACTAGCGATAACTTACAATCTTATTTTTGATCACTTTCATGTCACCCAAAGAAGCCCAACTACTTTTGATGTGATCTAATTCACGGTCTGGCTCCCATCCAATCACAGATATTCCCGAAGCGCTGCCCACAAATAGACACTCACCATTCTCGCTGATGGGAGTGTGTAAATAAATCAGGATGTTAGTGAAATATTATAGAAGTTAAGTGCTCGCCCAAAGAGCTTACCTAAATGTAATGCATCTGATGGCTTGACCATAGAAATGAGTTGTTTGCGAGACAAGCTGCTGGTGCTCCAGATCATAGATGGACACGGTGCCATCCACTCGGCCGGCTGCTAGTAAAAACTCAAATGGATGGAATTGAATGCATGTAATGGCTGTAACGGGTGGCTCTGCAACAAACTCCATTATCTGCTTGCTTTTGCGTATATCCCATATTAATATTGATCCTTCCAGGCCAGCGGAAGCAATCCAAAGTCCGTCAGGTGAAAACTTCACGGAATTGACATGCGATATGTGTCCTTTGCATACTTTAATGCATTTATTTTCATTTTGCACATCCCAAAGTCTAAAAATTGAATTAAATTTGTATTAAAATAAATGTAAAAAACAGACACACTATTTAAAGTCAGCGCTTTATCGATATATGATGAATGGCAACCCTGCATAAAATCAGCCCGATAGTATCGGTTAAGAAGAATAGCAACAGAGCGAACGACAATCGGATTTCATACCATCACTTCGAACAATCTGGCAATATAAAAATTGATGTGAACCTCTGTCCATAATCCAGTTTTTGTTTTCATTTTGCAACAGGCTTATCGATAATTTTAAGTGCCCTTTGTACCGGCGATACAAAGATAATTCTTCACTTAAACAGCCAATACATGAGATAAAGGTAAATTATTCGCACATTAGGCATTATTAATATATGTTTGGTGAGTGTCTATGTGTGTGTATGACATATATGTATGTATATAAGCTAGATGTGTATTTAATTTTTTTTTTAATAGAAAAGATTGTTTAATTGTGTGTGTACCCACATCGAGCCATAGGACTTCGATCAAACATTAAACAATTTGTATTCAGACACGTAATCAACGTTTTCTTAATGAAGAGTTATAGTAATCTTTGAATGCATTAACACGCACACATAAGCACACAGTGTGTATGTTTAATGTAACTAATCTAATCTAAAACTGATATCGTATCAGTGAATATATTCGTATATATATATGTATACATATCTGTGTCTGAGGTTGAAAGTTCGTCGACCATTGAGAGCTAAAGTAACAGTTTTTCATTTATAGCCGTCTCACAGCGCCGTTGACAGTTGATTGCATCGGTATCCGAATTGCAGAGAACAAGTTTATAAAACAAACCGGTGTCTACCTATATACAGAAAATGTCTTCAGCAGCAAAGTTGCGTTTTGATGGACGTGTGGCCATTGTTACCGGCGCTGGAGCTGGTCTTGGACGAGAGTATGCATTGCTGCTGGCATCCCGTGGCGCCAAGGTGGTGGTCAATGATCTGGGTGGCAGCCATGTGGGCGAAGGTGCCTCTCAACGCGCAGCCGATGTGGTTGTCGAGGAGATCCGCAAGAGCGGCGGGGAAGCAGTCGCCGACTACAATTCGGTTATTGACGGTGCAAAGGTCGTCGATACGGCAATCAAGGCATTCGGACGTGTCGACATTCTGATTAACAATGCTGGCATATTACGTGATCGCAGCATTGTTAAGACCACGGATCAGGATTGGGACTTGGTGCTCGATGTGCATCTGAAGGGCAGCTTTAAATGTACACAGGCCGCCTTTCCACACATGAAGGCCCAGAACTTTGGACGCATCATAATGACAGCGTCCAACTCGGGCATATACGGAAACTTTGGACAGGCCAACTACTCGGCTGCCAAGATGGGCCTGGTTGGACTCGCCAACACGGTTGCCATTGAGGGCCAGAAGAATAACATTCATTGCAACATAATCATTCCAACAGCAGCCAGCCGCATGACTGAAGGTATTCTGCCCGACATACTCTTCCAGGAGCTGAAGCCCAGCCTAATTGCGCCCGTTGTTGTCTACTTGTGCCACGAGTCCTGCGAGGATAATGGTGCGTATGAAAGCTTCCTTATCGGCGTATACACTTCTCACTTTTTTCTGTCTTTCGTTGAACAGGCAGTTATATTGAAAGCGCAGCCGGCTGGGCCACCAAGGTGCATACGGTGCGCGGCAAGGGATGTGTGGTGCGACCATCGATAGAGGAGCCGTCAACGTTGGAGTACGTGCAGAATGCTTGGAACAAGGTGACAGACATGTCGCAAGCAGCGCATACCAATTCCATTGCCGAGGCATCTGGTTCCCTGCTGCAAGTGCTAGAGAACCTGAAGTCCGGCGATAAGGATGCCATCGAGGATAGCTTTACGTTCGGCAACAAGGAGCTAATCCTTTACGCTCTGGGCATTGGCGCCTCAACAAAAAATAGCAACGACATTCGCTTCTTGTATGAGAACGATGGCGACTTTTCGGCGATTCCGTCATTTTTTGTACTACCCGGCTTGATATTGACCATGACCAGCTCACTGGTCTCCACGGCGCTGCCCAATAGCGGCGCTGATCTGACCAACATTCTGCACGGTGAACAGTATTTGGAAATTGTTGACGACCTGCCCACCAATGGCAACCTGGTGACCAAGGGCAAGGTATTCGATGTCATGGACAAGGGCTCCGGTGCCGTGGTTGTGACCAGCTGTGAGTCATACGACGGAAACGGTCGCCTTCTAGTGAAGAACCAAAGCTCCATCTTTGTTGTTGGCGCCGGCAAGTTTGGCGGCAAAAAGCAGCCTATTGCCGGTGTTGTGCCACTGGCTGCCCCACCCAAGCGGTCACCAGACTCTTCCATAGAATACAAGACTAGCGAAGATCAAGCTGCACTCTATAGGCTCTCCGGTGATCTAAACCCATTGCATATCGATTCGAACTTTGCGCGCCTATCCGGATTCAATACACCCATTCTACATGGACTTTGCACTTTGGGATATTCCGTTCGCGCTGTGCTAAGCAAATACGCCAATAACAACAGTGCGCTATTCAAGGCGGTTAAAGTGCGCTTTTCTGGCCCCGTTCTGCCCGGACAAACTCTCAAGATTGAGATGTGGAAGGAGGGTGCACGCATCCACTTCCGAACTATAGTCGTGGAGACTGGCAAAGAGGTTATTTCGGGCGCCTATGTCGACCTGAAGGACTCGAAAGCTAAATTGTAAAATCAATTTCTGAAGCGAGGCAATCATCGTAGACATACATACACACACTTATATATATATAATAATTTTACAACATAACCAGGCGGTGGTACAAAAATATTGCAATCAACACATTTATAACTCTACTAAATGTAACTGTTATTTTGTCTAATTTTAATAAACGATGTTAAACTTTTTTTGCATAATAGTCTAGAGCAAATATTCCAAGTCATGATTCAATTTCCTTGATTTGTACGCAACGTACACAAAAAAAGAGCAGATATTAATGGTATGCGCACAATTTACTATAATATAAAATATACATATATATATACATATATATATATATATAGATATAACGAACGTATAAATAGCGGCTAGCGGATAGCAGATAAACTGATAAAGAATTCCGTAGACTTTAGAAGTGTTAAGTATAAACCTAGAAGCAATAAGGCGACAAGACTTAAAATCATAACAGCTATCTGTGCACCTATCATATATGCATATATATTGGTTAACTTTCTAAAATATATTGCTGTAGATATCTACAGACTGTCCAGGTTCAAAGTTGCCTTCTATCTATAACCCTATTCAAATTTGAAACGAGTACAAACTCTATAAAAGCAAGTAAATTGTCTCATGAGCAATGCAAATGATATTGCATGACGCATGCATATAATATATATGTATATATATATATATATATATATATATATGTACACTAAGCGATCCAGTAGTCTTTATCAGTTGTATATATATGTGAAGATTTAGCTGAATAATTTCATGAATGGCAGTGAGACGGAACATTTTGTCGCACTTTAAACCATATCGAATAGGCACAGCTCATATAACAATTGGAGAATCGAATTGATACTGATATAGAATGAGCATTATGTCAGAAGTAAACCGATCTGAGTGGATATATGTGTATATATATAGTGAGAGTAGCAACTGCCATGCGAGTCTATATTGAGCACCACATAAAGTAGGCGGTTTGGACTTACCTAACAGTCGTATCATTGCTGCCAGATACTACGTACTCCCCGGATGGATTGAAATCTAAAGTTCGCACACTTTTCATGTGCCCATTTAATGTTGAGTAGATTTTCTGGGCGTTCAAGTCCCATCGCCGTATAATGCCAATATCATCAGCTGAATATACAAAATTATCCTTATAAGCAAAGCGAACGCATTCAATCGAACGATTGTGGCCAGTCAAGGACTATATAGGAAAGGAAAGGAGAGCACAAATAAGTGAAATATAGTTTTTTATTATAGCACTTAATAATATATACAAACCATGAAACATTCGTCTTGGCCAATCGCCCATAGATTGACATTTCGGTCTTCTCCTCCAGTGACCAGCACTCGACCCGTTTCACCCAAATCGAGGCTTGTGACTTTGCCATCGTGTGCCTTAATTTCATCTGTGGATACATATATTTGAATTAGAATCAATGTTTGGTTTATGGCGATATGTGAGTTAAATATTTGTATATAGCTTCATGTTTATGTTACGTCTACGGAAAGCATTCGATTTCCTTACCCAGAAAATAGAAATTATTTATTTATGTAGTGATTTAAACAGGGCTAGGCAATAAAATGTCTAAGATATATTTATTTTTTTAGATTATGCTCACATTACGTTTCTAATGATTTACTGAAGACTTAGTCGTCACACATATCTTATAAAATCTATTAAAAAAGAAATTAAGGAAAAGGATCTAAATACATTTCAAAAGAGCGAGAGAGAGAGAGAGAGATTCATGGATATAAACATATACTCCATATATGTTTATGCACACATACATATGTATCAATGAATTCTATGCAACAGATACGGCATGCTGTAATGTTTATACGATATTTAGGAAGTTGTTTATGCTAATATGTACAAAAGTGGAATCTTTTTTAACTTTTTATGGTTGTTTGATGTCGTGAACTCATCTTAACCTTACTCCAATACATATTCACATATCTACATATTTAAGCACACACTTTACACACACAGAGAGTCGGGCACACATGTGTAACTGCACAGCTCCTTACAAGGGCTGCATCCCACATGCAATTATTTGCATGTTATTGGCCAAAACAGGCTGATACACACACATGCACAGATACACCGCTCTGTGTGTATGTGTGTCGACCAATAAGTATGAGAACTACTTTCATAGAGTTAAAATTCTATTTTACTTACATATCTTTGCCACAAGATTTCTCGGCAGCGCCATTTCCAAGAAAATTAATCTTACAGGTGTATGTTTATGTTGACCGCAATATTATACGTTAAAAGTAATAATATTGTAAATATTTTATTTTATTTTGTCGCAGGTGTGATAATTTTTTGTGGGTTTGAGTTAAGTCGGATCAGCTGTCCGCTATCTCTTTTATGAGTCTTACAGACAACTTTATTGAAACATACAAGAAATCATAAACACATATGTACAGATGTAACTAAACCGTTTTACATGATTAATACCGTAATATTATTATACAACCGTCACATAAAATAACGATAAATTAGACAATATGCGTAGACTAAACAAATGCACATAATATATATATATATATATATAAATACACATACATATATATACAAGATTACCAGGGCTGAGAAGCCATTCTTTGACTCGTTTGCTGTTGCCACCTTATTTTTATATGATTGGCGGATTTTTTTACAAAATATGGCAAGCCATAAGAGGCAATGTTATCGATACCTTAAAGCGAATGACAGCTCTGCAGTTTTATTAGGCATTCCTAAAAAAAGCATCATCATTGCCTTGTCGAAAAGTTGCCGACAGCGTTATTCGAGAGTTTTAAGTTACTTTGCTCTGCGTGATTAAAGAAATTTAACTAAAGATGTCTTCACGTTACGATCGTGCTGTTACTATTTTCTCTCCCGACGGCCATTTACTTCAGGTTGAATATGCACAAGAAGCGGTTCGCAAAGGCTCCACAGCGGTATGTTAACTTGTTATGTTCATTGAAACCGATTAAATTTTTACATCAATTTTTGTAAAGGTTGGCGTGCGTGGTGCCAACTGCGTTGTACTGGGTGTTGAGAAAAAATCGGTTGGCAAACTGCAGGAGGATCGCACAGTTCGTAAAATTTGCGTTCTCGACCATCACGTCCTGATGGCATTTGCTGGTCTCACGGCAGATGCCCGCATCCTTATCAATCGTGCCCAAGTCGAGTGCCAGAGCCATCGTCTCAATGTTGAGGATCCTGTTACACTTGAATATATCACAAGGTACATGATAAAATGAAGGATAACCAACCATTTGACATTAACGACTGAAATGGTTTGCTTTATTTTGCAGATACATTGCACAACTGAAACAGAAGTACACCCAAAGTAATGGGCGCCGTCCATTTGGTATATCCTGCCTAATTGGAGGCTTTGATGCCGATGGATCAGCCCACTTGTTTCAAACCGAACCATCTGGCATATTCTATGAGTATAAAGCCAATGCCACCGGGCGTTCGGCAAAAACGGTGCGTGAATTTTTCGAAAAACAATATCGTGACGAGGATGTCAGCACTGAGCAAGGCGCCGTGAAGCTGGCCATTCGCGCACTGCTCGAGGTTGCTCAATCGGGTCAAAATAATTTAGAAGTGGCCATCATGGAGAATGGAAAACCGCTTAAAATGCTGGATCGCGAAGTAATATTAAAATATGTGGACATCATTGAAAAGGAGAAAGAAGAGGAACTTGAAAAGAAGAAGCAGAAAAAGTAATGCCAATTCAAATTCCATGTTGTCATTTGGTATTGGTATTACCCTGCGTTATTCTTTAATTACAATACTACATATTTTTATAAAATCTAAAAAGCTGTACAATGGAAAACAAAATTATTTTAAAGATATGTATAAAATACATGGTCATCAAAACAAGTACGCAGCTTTATATATTTAATGAACATAAAAAATTAGAATGGTACTACCGTGTGGCGGCTGTAAATTAAAAATGAATTATACTGATCTCTATATCTCTATATAGTACACAATAAATAATTCAGAGTATCCTTTGGGGCTTATACTAATTTATACTTGAAGGCAGATTTATTCACGAAAAATGTATATTAACTACAATTATTTTATATTTCTTCTCACTCAATAGTAATTAAATATACATTGTAAATATCTGACTGTTTTAAGCAAGCTGTAAAGAATTTTTTAAAAAAGTCGAAGTGTTGACAATGACGATAATTGGAGAGCGGCTTGCAACGATAACAAGGAGCTTTCTGTTTAGTTCATATTGTACGATATTATTTAACCCATCACTAATACGAGCAAGTGCTTCAGAACACTGGCAGAAGCAGTGCTGCAAATTGCACGCCTAAATTCATATGAGAATTTAGCTTAGTTTACTACTACCACTGTCCGGAGTCGGAAGTTGCGTCGAAGAAAGAGCCAAAGCAAAAATAATAAAAATAAAAAAACAACAGAATAGAATTGTATAGAGCGAATAACGAGAACAAGAATATTAAACACTTTTGCTGTTATACGACAACATAAAAAAATAACAAAAACGCCAGCACTGTTTCGCTTTTCATTCCCTTGCCTGTCATTCCAAACCAAGCAACACCATCAGACTAAAATCAATAATTTAGTTGTGTGGTTTTCGCGGCTTTTTGTGTTTTCTTTAAAAAACAATCAATACCCGAAGGTAACGTGTGTAGTAAAATAACAATTCACCTCAGTGTGCGTTTGCATTCGTTGACGCTTGACATATTGGTACACAATTTATTTATTTATTTATTTTTCTATATATATTTTTTTGCTGTTTTTTGGTTTTTTTTTTAATGTTTTATAAATCATACGTTTAACATTACAAACAAGATAACTTGGCATCCTTCGAATCTTGCAGCACTTAACACCACGTTAAAACGCTGCCAACCCTTCCTCCCCCTCCACACACACACACAAACACTCGCATAAAATATAAGAAAAACCACGTACTATTTATGAAATGTACATGTCTATGTACATACAGACACACATACAGATCTGTTGAAGCGTATATATGTATGCAAGTATAACACATACACAGTAACACACACACACACAAACTTTAAAGTTTTTATTTGCGTTTCCGCATATATTGGAGAATGCACTAAACAGAAAAAAAACCGAATTCAAATCGAATCGTATCCAATATAAAGCTGCATATAAATGTCTTACATGTATATAGATGTATGTATATATAAATTATATGATTTCCAGTCCTGTGGTGACTGAAAGTTAGGTTGAGAGGCGACTGTGCCTCTTATTGCTGGCCTCGGGCTCAGACAATGAAATAAGCCATTTAACGAGCAAATGACGGAGTGAATATTTATTTAAGCGGTTTACTGGAAGAACGCTTTTTAACCCTGCTTTTAATTGTTCTTTTTTGAATAATCGAAACAGTTAATTTTATTGGTTTTTCTTATTATATTCACTATTTTTAGTTTTACTTATATGACACCAATTTTTAGCATGTCCTATCAGTACGAGTTAAAACACGAGACTGATCTATATTTTTACAAATCATAGCCTCACCGGCGTAAGTAGAGTTGCCCTTGCCAGGGCTGTTCCTTAACTTGTCTAGCACCCGATAATAAGTGTTGAATAATACCTTACATTAAGTGTTATAAGCTAACTAAGTGTTATAAGTTAACTACCCCCCCCTCAAGTGTAAGGTCGTCCTCGACCGACCCAATTCCAGCGACGACTCCTCGCAAGTGCTTCGCGGACTTCTTTGCGTCGATGATCCACCAAAGAGTGAAGCCAATGCAGATTAAAGCACAGCATATGGCTCCTCTTTCGGAGTGCCGTACAACGACACATCATCAAAGTGCACCATTTCGGTTCCTTGGTCGCATATTAGCAGCGGTGACCAGCGAGTCGGTGCAGGTGTTCTCGAATGAAATCCGCAAGTCGTTCTCATTCACATTCAATACGGAGCAGTATGAGCAGCGTACTGATTCTTCGCTATCGCCGTTCAGCAGGCGCTTACTAAGCTTGCTCTTGCGCCTACGTATGTGGCGTCTGTTGAAGCTGTTGGTGCACGACGTGGACGTGGGCCTTGGCATCGGATGATGCATACCAAAGTTGTGCAGCTGCAGCGACTTGAGTGTGGCTGGCGCCGTCGATGACTGGCCGTGCACGTGCCCGTGATGGCCGTGATGACTGTGTCCCACCACTCCAGCGATGCTATGAGCCGTTACTGGACGAGTGATGTGTGTAGTCTGTCGGCGCGCTCAGCTGGCGATTGAATTCGGCCTTGCGGCGCGTCAAGTCCGTCAGGCAGTATTTGTTCAGATGGCCGTTGCTGGAGACAGGGCTCTTGGGCGATGATGCCAGATGCTGCGTATAGGCCGAAGGAGTTGCTGCTCACGCTTAGCTTATTGCCGGCGTTGTGCAGCAGATTGTTACAGTTCTTGCCGCTGATCTTGGCCGACTTTTGCCCGTCGTCGGTATCGTGTTGCTGCTGCTGCTAGCCGCCCTGTACTCCTTGTCGTCGCTCTCGCTGCGCACCGATGCTCGATACGCAGGAAATGTCTTCGTCTTGCTCTTCAGAGAGCCGTTCAGCAGTAGCTGCTGTTGCCGTGCGGCAACTGCCGACAATGCCGGCAGCTGCAGTTGACGTGACGCCGCTGCCGATGAGGATGAGGATGAGCCGGCAGCCGTGGCAGGTGTCGACAGAGATGGGCAGCGGTTGGAGCAACCTGTGGCTGTGAAACTTCTTGAATTAATGCAGTTGGCGGTGTTTTGGGGATTTCTTGACTTGGTTCTAGTATGGATGAAGAGTCGCTTGGCTCTGCCGCCGCGAAGAGTTCGTTAGTTGTTGCTGGCTGATGAGCTTCTACTGTTGGTGGTGGTGCCGTGAACAAGGGGGTTTCCTCAACGATTCCGCTTGTAGATTTGCATGCTGTGGTTCTGGCTTAGCATCCAACTATGGGGCGAATAGAGCTGTTGCTGGTTCTTGTGGACGACAGGATAAATCGTAATTTTTCTGCAGGCTTTTTTAATTTTTGGGAATTTGGTTATAAAATGTATAGTGTTGATGGATTCCTCTAGCCAAATTGATTTTAAATCTGAGGAGTCCAAAATGTTTGGGCTAACAATGAGCCTTCGCGAGAGTAATAGCAAGCATTAAACTTTGCAACTCCATCGTCCGCATTCTGTTTCTGGACAGTGTTTCAGTGTTTCAAATAAATAAATCAATAAAATCAATTTGTGAGTTTTGGCTATCCCGAGAACTCCACTGACAGCAAATGTTAACTGGTTAAGTTGGTCTTGAACCTCAGTGTTTACTTCTATCCGTCTACTGTTGGCATTCATTAGTCGCATTTCAGTGGACCTAGTCTGCTCTAAATCACCAGCATCGGGTGTACCCGCCACCAAAATGTTTTATAAAAACTATGCCAAGTGGCTAAAGGTAAATAGAAAACTATATCTAACTTATTCGAAATTGCCTAGCGGCTTAAAAAAAAGGTGTAATAAAAAAAAACAAGGGAGTCATCTTAGGTTGTCCTTGTGGACCACCCTTCCTTTAATGAGGACCTCGGTCCCCAGGTCTGCTTCCACGGCCTTCTCGACACATAAAGGTGTGAGTTTGTTTCCGAGCCGTCGGTTGGACTTGACCAAAACCTTGTCACCAACATCGAAGACTCTATTCTGCCGCTTTGCGTTCTCCCTAGCTCTGAGCGTCGTCTGAGCGTTTCTGATCTTTTCTTCTATCTTCTCTTGTGGCTCATCAGAGTGCGCCTGAACCACATCAACTGGTCTCTGGTCGATGACCGAATGGATCGACTTATTGTATTCGGTTGTGGCCAGTAAAATGACTTCTACGGTGTCATTTATGCCTTTGTCGATCTTTAGGCATCTGGCTAGCTCTAACAGAGTGCTGTGAAAGCGCTCAACCTGTCCATTCGATATGCTATGCAATGGTGGTGCATTTGAAATGCTGACCCCATAGTTGTTTGTGAGCATAGTCATGATGGTCTCTGAATTCAATGACGGTTCATTGTCACAGTAAATGGATCTGGCTTTTGGAAAAAAATTCATAAGTTGCATTACGGCTGGCTTCAGATCCACAATGGTTCTTGAAGCGACCGGTTGGACGATAGCAAACTTAGAGAACTTGTCGATGCAAGTGAGAAAGTATTTCTTGTCAGTGGAGAAAATGTCTATGTGTAACATCTCTCCTACATGTGAGGGGATCGGTGTCTCTCCAAGCTCTTGTTTTTTGGGGTGTCTATCATACTTAGCCCTAGCACATGTTTTGCAGTTTTGTACTATTTCCTTGGCAATTTTTGCCATCCGTGGAAAGTAGTACTCCGAGAGTACCTGCTTAACATTTTCCTGTGCAGACCTATGGGCCCTATTATGCTCGACTGTGAGGATTTCCCTTCCTTCTCCAACCGCAAATATGTCCACTACGCGATTTTTGCAATGCCAGAACTTTGTGGCTGGGTATCTTCGCACCAATGCATCTTGTATCATTGCAAGCGTGTGTAAATTACAGTGGAGAGCATTTACGCATTTGGGTGAGACTACATCTTCGAGCTCGTCTAGCAGCGATTCGACGCATGTATAGCTGATCAAGTAGCGTTTCTTATTTCCAAAAAGAATAAAACTTCGTTTTAAGGGGAAACGCGCCTCTTCTAGCACTATCTGGTTTTGAAAACAGTTCAAGGGTTTGTCTGTCGTCTCAATGGTGTTGGTGAGAGATACCTCACTGTGGATCGTTGCAGCGCAGGACTCAATTTCTTGCTCATTTATAGCGTTGAGCTGCTGTCTTGACAAGGCATCCGCAACCAGATTGTCCTTGCCAGGTTTATAGAAGATACGTGCATTAGACTCGTCAATGCGCGCTTTCCACCTTTTGATTTTCGCATTTGGATTAGATTCCGAAACTGCGAAGGTCAAGGGTTGATGGTCAGTGAAGATATTAATGTCTTTCACCCCATACAAATAGTGCCTTAATTTGGCAAGTGACCATACAATGGCCAATAACTCTCTCTCATTGGTTGCATAGTTAACCTCACTGTCCTTCAATGTTCTTGAAATCATTGTTATAGGACGACCCTCTTGAGACAAAACTGCACCTATGCCGTGAGCCGAAGCATCGGTCGTTAGATCGAATGGCTTCTTAAAATCGGGGTACCTGAGCATTACATTCTCGGATGACAAAATATCGCGCAACTTCTGAAATGCCCTCTGCTGCACTTCAGAGAATTGAACCTTTATATTTCTGGACCTATGCTTACTGACTGTTCCATTTTCACCCTTCAGGATATTCGAGATGGGTCTTGCTATTGCGGCGAAGTCCCTAATGAAACATCTGTAATAACTTGCGAGGCCTAGAAATGATCTAACCTCGAACAGCGTTTTTGGTTCTGGATACTCCTGTATTGCCCTAACCTTTTCAGGATCCGTCGTGGTGCCAGTGCTGGTGACTACGAAACCAAGAAAGTTCACGCTTTTCTTAAAAAAACGTGACTTTTCGACGGAGACCCTCATGTTTGCTTCGTGTAAGCTTTTCAGGACCCAATCCACGTGTTTAATGTGGGATTCCTCATCTTCTGAAAAGATGATTACGTCATCGACATAAACATAGCAAAATTTGCCAATCTGCTCTCGCAGTATGTCGTCGATGGTTCTTTGAAAGATGCTTGCTGCATTCTTTAATCCAAAGGGGAGTCTTTTGAACTCGTATTTCCCCCCGTTCACAGAGAAAGAGGTTTTTTCACGGTCGCGTTCAGCGAGTATGATCTGGTGATAACCAGACTTGAGGTCTAATGTTGAAAAGAATTTGGCTCTCCCCAAATTCCCCAATATCATTGATATATTTGGCATAGGGTATTTGTCCGGCACGGTTTTTTCGTTAAGTTTACGAAAGTCCATTACCAACCTCATTTTCCTATTGCCCGCTTCATCAGTGCCCTTCTTGTCTACTACCCATATTGGGTTATTGTAGGGAGAGACGGACTTTTGAATTATATCATTCTTTAGTAGATCTTTGATTTCTTTATTAACGAAATCAGCCGCTCCCATTGGATATGGGTAAAGCTTGGCATAGATCGGTTGCTCGTCTGTAGTCCTAATGGTAGCCACGACTGATGTGTTATACGGCAACGCCTCGTCTGGGTCTGCAAAGGCCTTTTGTCTGGTCTTCAGCATTTTCAAAAAAGAACTTCTAACTAATGGGGATGCGTCTGCACAGTCTACATTTGTGAAATTTACATTTTTGCATTTGTGGAAGGTGATTGGTTCGACCTCCGTGCCCCACTTAAGTTGTCCTGAAGCTAAACAAAGCGAAGCAGATGCCTGCTTTAGCAGGTCAAGGCCTATAATCCCATCAAAGGTTGATAAGTCCGGCAGAATAAAAAAAGTTGCTTTTAACCCAAACATTGAAACAAAGCATTTGTGTGTAATTTGTGTCTCGCCGTGAATGGAGTGAATTTTGAAGGGGGACTCTACCGAGCGGACGCCTTTCAACCCTTTATGTGGCCGAATGAAATTCTTGGCCGCGCCCGTGTCTATGAGGAATTGCATGTGAGTCCCTCCTACTCTTCGTCTGATGACGGGTAGAAGGGATTTACTCCTAAAAAATTAAGGGCATCAGAGTTATAACTAGTAACGTCATTGATTTGTGCCGCTGCGCTGGAGGCAGCATCAGCACACACCTCTGCCCCCTGTCCCGCGCCTTGCGTGACGTGATTCAACCTTTGCTGCTTTCTCAGACCGCCTGTGCGGTCAGATGCGGGGTGCTTCTTGTTCGCGTAAGCAAGGGCCTGAGTGGGCTGCATTACCCTTGAAAAGGAAGGATCGACCTCCATGGGCACTGGTGCGCCATTATTGTTGTGCTGCCTGGTGCTTCGTGGGTCAGTCCGAAATGGGGCCCTGTTTTGCTTGCTAAAGTGCGGATTCTTTGTACCGCTAGCTTGTCTTTCGGCTTGATGCGAATACCTCTCATATTGGTGACCCTGCGCTTTTGCATGCGGCTTGCGCTCTTTGTCTTCAAGACTTTTTGCAAAATTAGCCGCGAATGAGTACCTTTCGTGATTCGACTCGACCTCTTGCGCGAGAGCTAGCGCTGAAGGCAGATCTCTGGGCTTTGCTGCAAAGAGCACATCTGTTAGACTGCGCTTGAGACCCGATATGAACACACGCAACGCATCGTCGCGGAATTTTTCACATAGGCCCTTTGCTAAAGCCGGCTCATATGACATATTAACTTTGTTTGTGAGAAGAGCGAGTTTCTTCTCTACTTCATCATAATATTGAAGCAGGGACAGGCCACCTTGCCTCAAGGTACTTAATTCTTGTTCAATGACATGAATTGGTCTCTTATCACTGTATGTGAAATCTAGGCGATTTATTATCGCATCAAAATTCAGCACAGTACCAAATGAGGCTAGCACCGCGTCTGCGGGGCCCCTAATCTTGCTTCTTATGATGATGACGGCCTGATAATGACGAGAACTGCCATTATACGGTCTGAAGATCTCGTAAGTGGCTAATGCTGCCTGCCTCCAAGATACATACGATTCCTGTACCCCTGCAAACTCAGGTAAGCATTTGACGGCATCTAGTGGCTCGTCACAGTGAATATCGTTCCTAATTCCTATAGCAGCATACGCTACTACTTGTGGGGCGGCAACGTTTGCTACCGCTATTTGTTCAGCTAACTCATTAATTCGTTGAGTTAATACATGTTCCCTCTGCTGGTTTACAGCGGCCTGTTCGGCTAAAGCTTTGCTAGTAGCCGTCCTTATTATTTCCGTAAGCTGATCTGCATCCATTCTACCTGATGGTGGGGGAACTACACAGTCGGAATCTGAGTCGCTAGACTGCCTGCGAGGGTTTCTATATTGGTTGAACCGAGACATGCGCAGGTCAGTGGTCGCGAAAAATAAAACGGGCCGTCAGAAGATGGGTCGAATTACGTCACAGCTCTGAACTACGAGAACTGCATGCACAACTTCAGACACACAGAAAGTAACACAATGTAATTTTATTGACGATCTGAATGATCAATTGCTGCCACTAAAATTCCCAAAGTAGTCACTCTCACTTGGTTCTGATCATTAATTTTTTTTTTTTTTTTTTACATGCAATTGCAATATAAAATACTCGCTAGTCCTAGCTATTTTTTTATAAAATAAATTTTAACACTTTTTGTGTTTGATGAAAAATTTTGGCTAGAGTATCCACTTACAAGATTCAACTAACACAAAACAAAAAAAAAAAATCCCTTTATAAGATCTGTCAATTGCAGCTCCCGCGCTGCTGTCTTAATTGTTGTTGGTTGTGGAGTCCGACCACTAGTTGGGCGCCAATTATATGTTTTCCAGTCCTGTGGTGACTGAAAGTTAGGTTGAGAGGCGACTGTGCCTCTTATTGCTGGCCTCGGGCTCAGACAATGAAATAAGCCATTTAACGAGCAAATGACGGAGTGAATATTTATTTAAGCGGTTTACTGGAAGAACGCTTTTTAACCCTGCTTTTAATTGTTCTTTTTTGAATAATCGAAACAGTTAATTTTATTGGTTTTTCTTATTATATTCACTATTTTTAGTTTTACTTATATGACACCAATTTTTAGCATGTCCTATCAGTACGAGTTAAAACACGAGACTGATCTATATTTTTACAAATCATAGCCTCACCGGCGTAAGTAGAGTTGCCCTTGCCAGGGCTGTTCCTTAACTTGTCTAGCACCCGATAATAAGTGTTGAATAATACCTTACATTAAGTGTTATAAGCTAACTAAGTGTTATAAGTTAACTTATATAATGTAAATGTGTAGATAAAATACATATATATTTTTTTTCATTCCAATACAATTTGTTTATACACATTTATATACACGCATACATATATGTCTCCTATAATGCACCTAATTATGTATATGTACATATAAATATATGTACATATGTATGTATAGGTATCCCTATATACACACACTGACGTTCCAATCTTATCTCTGGCATAAGTGGTCCGCAACGGTTGGAAAAGGCCTGTCCTCTTATCTCAGTTCAGTTGACTGTTATAATCACCCAATACACCGTATTACGAGCGAGTCCACATACATACATGCATATATAGATATTTTGGTAGAATTCCATTAAGATTTACACTTGTTAATCGCAGCTCTCATTCAATTCTATCTATGTCTAACTCTCCCATAGATCTCAAGATTTCAAGAACTCGTAGAAAGGATCATATAAAAGCCAAGAATTCAATCGAATAGTTAAACAAAATATATTGTAAATATATAATTATGTATATATTGTATATAAGAATGACTTAAACAAAAATATATATAGAGCCTGTCTTCATCTATTATATATATTGATCTTTAGATTTTTTTCCTAATTTGTTCGGCTTGCCGATAGCTAAATTTCCCATTTTTGTGCCCTTTCTTTATAATATTTTCTGTTTGTGTGTGTGCCTGTCTGTATGTGTGTGTGTGTGTGTGCGTGTTGACCCGACCTGACACTCTCCGTATTTCACATATAATACAATAGAATGGGCACAGAAACGAAGAGCAACAGTTACACAGGACAGATTTCAACAAGTGGCGGCAACCCTAAAGTGATGAAAGATTCTTTATCTTTAGTTCGTCAAGCGGTCAAACAGCAGCAATCGAATCAAATCAATTTGAATTTAAATTCGAACAGCAATTCGAATTCCAATTCGAATTCGAATTCGATAACATACTCAAGCGAGCAACAGAACAACGCGGGTGATATACGACCAACCAAGCAGGAGGATAACACAAGAACAACAGTTAAAGATACGTTTGTGCCATTCGTACCGATATTTGTTGAAGAAGCCGATGTTATACAAGGTGCTAAGGATATACTGAAAGTAATACGACCGAACTGGGACCTCAATCACGTTGACTTTAAGGTAATCTTTCTCTCTCTCTCGCTCTCTATATATATAATTTGAAATAGAAACGGAAAGGAAAAACCTAGTTATGACAAGGTTCCTTTGCCATATAGTATTGAATCATTCCATATATATATATATACCTATATATCTAATTAGATAAATTTACATTCGATATTCATAAATTATTTGCGAGTTATTAAAAAATATAGAAAAATATAAAAGACTATGTCTGTACACAGCTTATAATATAGATATAGATATATATATATATACAGCTGTAGTTTGTATAGTATTAGTTGTTTCGAATGCATAGCACGAGGTTTCAATCAGTTAATCTTTAGTTATTATTTACTCGTTAAATCGCTCAATAACAACTTCCAACACGTATTATTATATAAGTATAGCACACATACATACATATATATATATATATACTTGTGAAGCTGATTCAAAGTTTATTTAAAATATGTAAAATCATTGCGAATTCAATATATACATATCTAATAAAAAAAAAAAAAAAATATATATATATATATATATATATATATACGTTCATTATAGTATATGCCTTTGCATGACAGCTATTGCTAACAATTATCTGAAACGTGGAACTATTATTTATACACAAATATAAATTAGCTTCGGGCTGCGAGTTAAGTTTTTCCGCGCTGAATATATTTATCTGGTAATTGAAGCAAACCCGTTTAACTATAATTATTAGTATTATTGCTAATGGCGTTCTGTACGTGCTTTTGTAAATTAGATTTAATGAGCTCGCTGCTCAAAATACGTATACGTCTGCGTATACGCAATATAGCTGCTTAGCTTAGCCATATAGTGTATCAGTTTATAAGTTTATTGACGTTGATAATGCTCTATATGATGATAGCATCTGTATGTATATGGACGCACACACACACCTATACATCAGCTGGCAGCTCTAATGCGAACGAACCACTTAAATCACAAGAATTTCATTAAAAATTTGTTCGCTTTTTACTTGAGGCTTATCAAAACTATTACGTCTGGACCCCCATAAGCACATGGTGTTATTTATTTGGCTACATACATACATATACATATGTACAAATGTAGTTTTAATGAGCACATGCACAAGTACTGCTGTGTGTGTGTGTGTGTGTGTGTGCGCGCGCTCAATAATTTCAAAAGTCACAAAGTTTATCAAGTTTGATTACTAATATACTACACAAGTACATATATGAGTGCACGTGTGTGTGTGTGTGTGTGTGTGTGTGTGGCTGTGTGCGTGTGTCCTAAAATCTGTTTTCTTTTTAAGAACTGAAATCTTTGCTGATTTTTTGCTAGATTAAGTGTAAATACAAATTCAATTCAGACTTTAAGCATAAACAACTTGATGGCCTATAAAAATATCCTATACATTTATACAAATATATATATATGTATATATGTATAAGTATATATAACAACTTGCCTTTGGGCTAGGCATTTTATAATCTGTTTGTAAATCAATTAACAACTTTGATAGTTAGCAAGTTTATATTACACTTCTATATAAGCTTGAATGTAAGACTTACGACAACAACATTTCAACAAGTTAACATATTTATATATATATACATACATACATACATACATATATACATATATATTACATTTACATTTAGAGCTCAGGCGCACTACTATTTTTATGAACACAGCTGTGTCTGCTTATATATATTTAGCTATATATATATATATATATATATATATATATATATATACATATATATATATACATATGTATATATACATATATGTTGCACTTACATTTAGAGCTCTGGCGCTACTACTACTATTTTCATGAACACAGCTTTGTGTGTGTGTATGTATGTGTTTATGTACATGTATGTGTATATGTATATACTACTTGTTAGTACTCGTTCAGGCTGAAAGTAAATGTCAATGTATTGCGCCTGCAAGGGGCGTGGCCACGGCCATAAATGTCGAAAGCTTAACTTTGGTAGTTCTAAAATGTAGAAGATGAACGCAACTAGCTATACTATACTATATAGTTTTAGCTATATATATATATATATATATACATATATATATACATATATATATTAGCCGATTTGTCACACAAGCCGACAAAATTGAGATTTCAAGCATGCGACTCCAAATGCCTTGTCAGTCATAAGGCAATATATATTCTAAGATTATCTTTGAAGTCATAAACCATTAAGATATTCTGACTCACGCTGAATATGCCCATATCAGAGCTGTAAACTGTATGCAGCAGATACTTGAGGCTTTAGGTAAACATTGTGCAGAGCTATAATATACCCATTGCTTCTGCACATAAAGTTAGATCAATAGTTTGGCAATTACTGATATATATACATATATATTCTAAGATTATCTTTTGGTATTTATTCTGTTTCTTGTGTCTTTCAGAAATTTACAGATGGCATAACAAATAAGCTAGTCGGCTGTTTTCACAATTGTTCCAAATTGGGCAATGACAATGACGAATCCTATTTATCAATCAACAATGCGCAGAGAATTTTGCCGGTCAAATCGGAGGATCCGGTTATCCTTCCGGAGGAATTCACAACCATCGATAGAGAGACAACGGACCATAAACATCTACAATTACCTATACAATACTCCGATAACGTAGTGCTCGTTCGTGTCTATGGTAATAAAACGGACCTATTGATCGATCGGAAAGCTGAAACGCAAAATTTTCAATTACTGCACACATATGGCTTGGCACCATCTCTCTATGCGACATTCAAAAATGGGCTCGTCTACGAATATGTACCTGGTACCACCTTAAATACAGAAAGTGTGCTATGCCCAGATATTTGGCCATTGGTCGCTCGTCGCATGGCCGAAATGCATCGTGTGGTTAGAAAGAATACTCCCGATGCCAAACCGATGCCAATGATATGGAAGAAGACGCAAAGCTTTCTGGACTTAGTACCTGAACGATTTAGTGATGCTGAAAAACACAAAAGGTAACCTCAACGACCCATGATATCCGAGCAAATATATTAACTTCAATGTGCTTTGCAGAGTGAAAGGAACATTTTTACCTATTGGACGACTGCGCGAGGAGTTTAATAACTTGTACAAATACTTGGAGGCATTAGAGAGTCCAATTGTTTTCTCACACAACGACCTGCTATTGGGCAACGTCGTCTACACGAAATCAAAGAATGCTGTTAACTTCATCGACTATGAATATGCTGATTACAATTTCCAGGCCTTCGACATTGGCAATCATTTTGCGGAAATGTGCGGCGTCGATGAGGTCGACTATACGCGCTATCCGAAACGAGAGTTTCAGCTCGAATGGCTGCGTGTCTATCTCGAGTGCTATCTACAGCGGAATAATATCAGAAACGATGAAGTCGATCGACTCTTTGTCCAGGTTAATCAGTTCGCACTGGCTGCCCACATCTTCTGGACAGTCTGGTCTCTACTACAAGCTGAGCATTCCACAATTGACTTTGATTATGTTGGGTGAGATTCAGCGACCTAACGTCGATCGTCGATCGTCGATCTATCAATGCTAATTAATGCTGATCTATCTTTTTATCTCTGTCTATATCCCAGCTATGCATTTCTTCGTTACAATGAATATTTGGCTCGCAAGAAGGAGTTCTTATCGTTGACTGCATCAAAGAACAATAAATGATTTTTTCCCAGAAATTCGCAAATAATAATAATGAAACGAAATACACACAATTTTGTGTCCAACCCCAGTGATGTACTTATATATATAGGTATATATATATGTATATGTATATATTTGTGTATACATATGTGTGTAAACTATGGCTAGCATTGATATACTATATATGTACAATTATACATAGTATATACATACATATATGCATGCGTATTTGATGTATACAGCTGTATATAGGAAATGTGTTCACAAATCTTCATTAATTGGTGCCGTGTCTATACCAGCCGTAGTCTATGCATATATACATATATACATATATATATATAATGAATTTGTATATGTTCTTTAATTTGTATATTGATATTTTGTAGTCATAAATAAATAAACATAAATATTTAGTTTTCATATTGATGCTTCTATCTACACATTCGCTCATTCTCCAGTTATACAATTATATATACATATGTATGTAACTCGAGAGCTTGACTGTGCTTAAACAATAACGCCTGCTTCAGTACATACATGTATTTTTACAGTAGGGAGGTACATGGTACATGGTACATGGTACAAGGTACTTTCTAGTCTAATCCCACTTGTCAATTAGAGAATATCCCTGCTTTAAGCTAGCCCGCTTTATAGAGCTCGATATGGAATGTGGAATGCTTAGACACACGATGAAGAAAGAAACAGATTATATTGCCTGCCTTTTCACACCGCTGGCAACACGTGCACATTAACTTAAAGCCTTTAAATAAGAATGATAGTAAGATTATATAAACTCTTGAGCTTGAATCTTATGGCTATCTTTTTCTGTTTATTATTATTTATTGATGATTGTGAATGTTTAGCAAAAAAAATGTATATATATTATTTAGACATACCATATTAAATACTTAGGAATATATATGTATTTACATATATTTTGGGCGTTTAACAAAAGGTTTTACACAACAACGAATTTATTTAATTTATACAAAAATATTCTTGTATAATTTCAAATACTTCCTAATTTTATACAGTTGTCCGATTCCCGTCGCCACCAAGTTTTTGTACAATCTGCAATATAAAAAAAAAAATAAAATTCTAATGATTAGCATGATCTGTTATAAATAATAAATAACGATATTTATTCGTTTGTAGTCGCTGCTTGCAACTAGATTCTGACAATTTAGGTGGTTGGGTGTACAGCAATGACACTTAAGTGTTTCGATTGTCAAGAAAAACATATCGATATAATTTTTTCAGATTATTGCCATCCCTAGTCTGTCAGCTGTCATACCTAAAATAAAGGGAACAAGAGTCAAGCGAGCGACTTCCTAAAATTACGATTTATTATTAATCATGGCGAGTTATGTTGCTAGGAAGGGTCCTTTGGTATTCTGTAAGTATTCCCTTTATATTCCAATCACTGAATTACGAAGGTAGAAAATGCGCAACCTTAATCGCAGCATATTTAGCTGATTACGTAAATATGTTTCACAAACTTTGCTATTCTACATTCCAGCCAATCTAGGCAAGTGGGCCTACAATCTGTCCGGATTCAATCAATATGGTAAGCACTAAGTGAAATGCACAATTTATTTGAGTGGTCTATGAATAATGTCATTTAAGGTCTGCACCGTGACGATTGTCTCTATGAAAACGAGGATGTTAAAGAAGCAGTCCGCCGCCTTCCACGCAAATTGTACGATGAGCGCAACTATCGCATAATTCGTGCCTTGCATTTGTCCATGACAAAAACCATTTTGCCCAAGGAGCAGTGGACAAAATACGAGGACGATGTCAAGTACTTGGAGCCCTATCTGAAGGAGGTTGAGAAGGAGCGCGAGGAGCGTGAGGAATGGAACAAGAACCATTAAAATTCTTCTCAATGTGCGGATTTGTAAATGTTGGAAAATACATAGATTAGATTCAAATTAAAATATCTGAGAAGAATTCATTTTTGAGATATGGGCAAAGTTTGCGATATATAACTACAATTTATTTATAGGTAATAAGAAATGTAATTTGAATGTAGGAATGGGGGACCAGATGTATTCTATTGTTAGTGCTTACAACAAATTTATATTCTATATAATACTAGCATATTCGTTCAGACGGCACTTGGAACTGTGCTTGGAATGTTAGATATTTCGTAAGTCCGGTTTATCTTACCTTTTGCATAAATGGTAGATTGAATAATGATCCTAAGACGGGCACACGGCCGAGGAAATTGATGGCTACGGGGAAAAAGCCACTGCAAGGAACAAATTTTGGAAAATTTAATATAAAAATTAGTTTAGACACGTGCTTCTATGAAATCTGGTAAGCGGGATATGCTTAGATGCGTGTGTACAAACCTGAATAGTGCAAAGAATCCATAGGATTCAATGATCATGCCAATTATGGGGAAACCAAGCAGCACAATCACAATTCCACCAAAGAATGCTGTTGTCCCTTTGACTTTATGGCGTTGAAAGAAAAAGCGTAAGGTCCGCTCGACGCCAATGACGCAGCCAAGGCCGGATATGAATAGAATCTGTAAGAAATGGACTGGCTAAAATATATCCATGAATGGGACTCCAACATTGCTGTCTCACGCACATTTCCTATGGCAAGCAAGCCCTTGTCAAATAAAAGCAACATGCCAAGAAATAAAAACGATATGCCAAAGCCAGCCAAGCCGATTCCAATTTCTGCAAATAGTGTGCAATAATTAATATGAGCTGTGTTAATTTGCCAATAACGAATATAACTTATTGTCTAACATACTTTGGAGATCTGTTATTTCAATCATTCTGCTTTAGTTTGGGCTATTTATGCTTAAAAGGATAAGAAAGTGCATTGGGTGTATTCCACGTAAACACCAAATGTTTCATTATTATGAATATAAACAATCATCGCAGGGTTGCAATAAAAACAGTGTTGGAAAACATGCAATAAAGAATGTCATACATACCTCGAATTCAATACTTGAACATAATATCTGTAATCATATTATTTATGATATATATAAATTTTGACGCAAAATCAAAATATTAAAAAAGAAAATTATGCAATTGCAAAGAAACTAGCCTTGAGTCGATAATTTTTTTAACAGCGGTCAACATTAATTTGTTAACTAAACTGTTAACTAAAAACTATAGACTTAATTTTGCGGCTATTATATTCAGGAACCATCCAACGCATACAGCAAAATAAAAACGTAATTTGATTATTAACAAATTCTTTATTTTGTTGTATTAACAGTCAAAGAAACCGCCGCTATCTTGTCACCTTGCTAATCGATTAAGTATTCGTTTCATTATCGATTGCTCGACATGTACGATTAAAAAAATTTCTGGCATCCCTAGATTCACACGCCATTTTTACAATAAAAAGTCAAGTCGAATTTTCGACTGACGCTTGGGTTGAAAAAAAAGAACGCAAGAAGTGAAAGAAATTCTGGAAAGGTTTCCTTTTTTTCCATAAAAACCAATTGTCTTATTCGCGTTTTAAATATGGATCGTAAGTGTGCATTAACACGAGAACGTTAGTGAAGTCGAAGAAATATATTGAATGTGCAATTTTTTTTAGGTGGTGGTTACGGTGGCGGTGGTGGCGGTGCCGGGCAGTACAATAATTTTGCTGTTCCTCCGCCAAATTACCAACAAATGCCAAATAAAACTGGTAACTATAACGAGCCCCCTCCAAACTATAACAAACCAGGCGGAGGTAAGTTTAATTGAAATTCAACCACAATGGTTTGCAGCAAAACAACAATATTTTTCTTTAAGGTTATGATTCAGGCCATCGTGGCGGCGGTGGCAGCAGCGGCGGCGGTGGTGGTGGTGGTGGATCATGGAACGATAGAGGCAATTCCTACGGGTATGTTATTATCATTATGATACTACTTATATACTATGGGGACAGTGTACAATGTGGCTACGAGTATTAAAAATTCAGAGTGTGTCGCCAAATAAGAATTCCATGAGAACAAAAAAAATCGAGCATACATACAATTATCGTAAAAAAATAAACAAGACAAAACTGCAAATAACATTAATTTTTTCACAAATTGGAACTACGATAAACTTCGATAAATTTGCCAAGTTGCAACAGAAGAAAGAAGAAGAGCAGAGAGAACATAATATCCTTGTGAGTTTATCGTAATAAAGTAGAGCAAATATTGTTATATTTATATTCCTAATATAATGTCCATATCGCATACAACACAAAAAAAAAAAAATACTCGTATCATCGTGGTAAAACAAGATATTGAAAGGACATCTTGAAGCAAGTTGGTATTTCATATTTAATAATTACTATTTTTGTGTTCGAATTAACAGACATTGAACGATAATTATGTAGAGTTTGGTCTTCAGTAATGAAATGAACTTCACGTGTCCAAATTATACAAATGCAATGACAACGAATCAAAGTGGTTTCCATAGATATATATTAATGTGTATATAAATATATAACGATTGTATGGTCATAGATGTCAAGATGTAAAGAAGCTGAAAATGCTGTCGTCTATTTAGTGTGCAGCACGTTATTGATAACTACAGAGTAATGAGAGTGATTTACAAATCTGAACTGATAGATCCAAGAGATCTTCAAGTGGTCTACCTGTAGGTGTATACTACTGATCGAGCATGCACATATATATACATATGTATGTATGTATTAAAATTTAATGGCATTATCTGTATGAAATGCTTTGAATTTAAGCCAAACTAAGAGGTTAACGAAAAGGTTGATTTGCTCGATGCGACTTACAACAGGATATATACATATCTCTCTCTCCCGAATTGTGTGAGAAGGATGCCTGCCAGCATATTGAATGGGATCGCTTTTACTCTCCCTCTCACTCTCTCTCTCTCTCTCTCACTCTCACTCTCAACTGTCTCTGAATCTCCCTTTCTGCGTCAAACAAGTAATTCGTAATTTGAGCACACATTCTGCATATTCGTATAGATAACCCATATACAACTGCGTTACACGTTAAGCTTAAATAAATAATTAACAAATTGTTCATTGGTATTTGTAATAGTTGCAGCCGTTCAGATCGCAACTGTTGTACACAAACGATTTTGTATAAAACTTGGCATGTCAAGTACTCTTTAAACTCTCCTAATCGTAGTCGCAGCAACCAATTATCGATTTATCGATTATCACATTCAACTTAGATCGTAAATTAAAGTTGTCTCATACTAGCGCGCAACATAGATATAAAGTAGCTTAAATATATAGTGTTATGTTAAGGTTTGTTTTAGAAATATATTTATATATGTTTCCCATTAATCGCTTAGTACTTGAATGCCTCAATTTGTGTGTAATCAATATCAAAATCACAGTCCATAGTTAATATACTAAATGTATGTACATAGAAAGTAACTAATACCATGTTAAGGTTCTACAACTAGAATGAGATTGAAGTATATTTAATAAATTTTAAGTAACGATAATGATTTATATATATATGTATGCTTTTAATTACAATGCAAACCCTTTAAATTAAGCGACAGTCGAGACAAATGTTGTACTTTAAATATAACTATAAAAGCTGCCTTCTGTATTTTTAACGTTATATAATAGTAGGGGTATTTTGTGTATATATAATAGATAAAAACAACCATTTCAAATTTTGGTTCTATAAAAAAACCAATGTAGTATGTTTGGAAATATGTGTTGTATTATATTTATGCAAATTTATCATAATTTGAAATATAAAAAAAATAAACAAAATGTATCCATGCAGAGCAGTGTTTGAAGGCAAAAACTTAACGAAACCAAAGATAAAAAACAAATAGAAATTAAATATTTTTTTTTTGAATATAAACAAATTTAATTGTAAGAGCTATGTAACTTTAAACTAAATTTATTTTATGCTGTTCGCGTGAAGCGCCAAGTGTCGTCTGCATGGTTACAGTGAAACCTCGGTGCACCGATTCAGCTGTATGCACCAAATACATCTTTTTTTTTTTTTTTTTTTTTGACAAAATAAAGGCAAATGCCACTTATCATTATATATTTACATTGCCAGCGGTGGGCGTGGCACAGACGTATTCCACATAGAATTAAGTAGCTTTAAAAAGTTTCTGTTCAAACAACCCAATGGAAGATTCTTTACCAGAGCCCTTTGAGTGACTGTTAAAAAAAAATGACAATTACAAATATATCTCTCGGTGCGCATCAAAGTGCGCTGGTAAAAGTCATGAAACGTTCTATGTTTAAGTAATTGATTTAGTAAACAATACACACGTATATATATATATATATATATATAAATATATATATATATATATTGTATATGTATATGTATATGTATGTTTGTATGCCTCTAGAGAGTCATATGTTGTGCGATGATAAAGCGGCGGCGTGCGTGGGCGTTAACTTCCATCATAATGCATTACAAACCAAAAACATCAAAATCAAAAAACATTAAATAAGTTATTCAATATCCTCTTTTAGAAATGGAGGCGCCAGCAAGGACAACTACAACAAAGGTAAAATAATGCAAAACAATTTGCAACCATATCGAGTAATGTATAACATTAATTTACTACAAATCAAAAAAAAAAAAACAATAGAAAAATACAAAAACAAACAACAAAAAAACAATAGAGAGAAGAGTAAAGATATTTCGCTCGAAATTTCTGCTAATTAAGCTATAAAAAATAAAAGGAAACAACAACAGGAAAATACAAAACAAATAACACAAATGAGTTCAAAGCTTCGTACCCAAAAATTTCGCTATATATCAAGAGAGCAGCGAGTCATTTCGAGTTGTTTAGATTCTATGGCAAACTGAGTGGTTAAAGTGTGTAAATTCGAACGTTAAACTATTAAGTTCATATGTCGTGACCCCGGGTCATAGGGTCATGGGTTACCCTTACCTTGGTTCTGGTCACTGGTTATCCTGGTTATAAACTTAGGGCTATTGGTTTGCTGCACGATCTTTAAGTGTCTCAATCTGTGTATGTGTGTGTGTGTGTGTGCGTGCGTGCGAGCGTGTGTGTACGTCTGTGTGTTGCGTCAATATATAATTATATATATGCCTACCAACTTATCATCTGTTTGAGACAGCAGCTCAAGCTTAAGTTATCCATAGGTAATACGAGTAAAAGTAACAAAAATCGGTATTTATATATATTTACAGTCCTAGAGGTGTTCTTGTTGAAATTCTGGTTTCAGATGAAAAGGCATACCACTTAAGATTATCTATCTATCATCTAGATGAAGAGCAAAGATAAGAACGCGTTGTCGTCTTTATGTATACTCTACAAATTGTTGCATACATATATAAATACAACTACAAATAGAGTTTAAGAGAGTGTGTGCGCTGTATTGCTGCCCTAATTGATATGATGCGTGTATTGTTGATACGAGTGTCCAGCAGTTTCACACTTCGATCTAAGGGTTAATCTTTGTTTCTCAAATATAAACTATCTGTCGTTATTCTGCCTTTCTAATGTGTCTCTCTGTTTTGTAGGATATGGTGGCAGCAATAGCAGCAGCGGAGGCGGCGGTGGTGGCGGTGGCAACGATATGATCACGCAAGAGGATACCATCTTTGTTTCTGGCATGGATCCATCCACCACTGAGCAGGATATTGAAACTCATTTCGGAGCAATTGGAATCATAAAGGCAAGTAGATCGATCTCACAGGCAAGATTTGCAATTATAATCTAATCAGAATGGTTGGTTGCCTCTTATAGAAGGACAAGCGCACCATGAAGCCAAAGATCTGGCTGTATAAGAACAAGGAGACTGGCACCTCGAAGGGCGAGGCCACGGTCACATATGATGATGTGAATGCCGCTCAGTCGGCCATTCAGTGGTTCGATGGCAACGATTTCAATGGCGCCCAAATCAAAGTCTCTTTGGCTCAACGTCAGAATAATTGGAACAAAGGCGGCGGTGGTCGCGGCGGTTTCGGTGGACGTAATCGTGGTGGCGGTGGAGGTGGCGGCGGTGGTCGTTTTGATCGCGGTGGCGGTGGAGGTGGCGGCGGTGGTGACTTCGATCGCGGCAGCGGAGGCGGCGGCGGCGGTGGTCGTGGTGGTGGTGGTGGCGGCCGTTTTGGCGGCGGCGGCGGCGGTGGTGGCGGCGCTGGCGCCGGTGGCAATGTCCAGCCTCGTGACGGAGATTGGAAGTGCAGCAGCTGCAACAACACAAACTTTGCTTGGCGTAACGAGTGCAATCGGTAAGACAGACCAAATCATGCAGCTAAATCATGGACTCAATGAATCTCCTTTATTTCAGATGCAAAACACCAAAGGGCGATGAAGACGGCAATTCTGGTGGTAATAGTGGCTATGGAGGTGGTGGCGGCGGTGGAGGCGGAGGCTATGGCAGTATGAATGATCGTGGCAATGATCGCAGCTCTGGCGGTGGCTACCAAAATAGAGATCGAAGCAGTGGTGGCGGCGGCGGCGGTGGTGGATACTCACGTTATGGCAATGATAATGGTGGCGGCGGTGGTGGACGTGGTCGTGGTGGTGGCGGCGGCGGTGGTGGTGGCCGTCGTGATGGTGGCGCCATGCGCAATGACGGCGGCATGCGCTCCAGACCATATTAGGAAGGTGCTCGTCACGCAAAACTATTTTTTCTAACTTACGTATTAATTATACTACATAGCAAGTACTCAATTTTAAATGTACTTTTATATTACGCCCCCCTCCCTCCCTCCCATCACCAGTCAAAACAAAAACAACTACTACCACTACAACAACAAACCATAATGCAGATCATGCATTCAAGTCATTATATCCATTGATTTCAGAATTCAGAATTGTTACAAATTGTAGCATCTTATCACTCGTTTTGACTTTAGCATATTATAATATGTATATGTAATCTAATTTTACACAAAAAAAAAACAAACATAATTGTAATAGATACATACAAATAAAAATTAATGAAAACAAGAGAATAATACATATTAATAATACGTACACTGGTTAAAAAAACGGCGATTGGCATGATTTTCAAAATGGGTTGGCTGAGATAGCCTAAGCAACAGGGTAAAAATGGCCTAACACATTGCGCCTGTCCAAGAGAGAGACGGATATATTTGGGTAGCGAGACAGAGAGAGAGAGGGATACATGGCAGTAAGACACTGAATCTGCTTAATGTCCCGCTGCCTTCGAATATTATACTTTACTGTATAATATATCTCCTGAATTTAAGCTATGCAGTTCCTAATAATAATAAAACAAAATGTAAACAAATAGAATATATAAATGAAATAAATAAAATTCGACGTTTCAAAGTTCAACTTTAATGTGCATTTAATATTATTCCTGACGAGCTGCTCTCGATTATTATTTATGGTATATTTAAACGGTGCTACTAACTAGCGCACACAAGCTGAGAGGAATTGGTTGCGTGTGTTAGTTGCGTCATAAAACAGACGATTAACAATTGACTTGGATTTTATAAAATTTTAATAATTATATTTAAATGAATATACATTTGTAATATTACAGTTCATCTTTTTCCAGCAAGGTGTAACGATGTTTCGATGGGCCCAGCTCCTTAAATTTAGACTCGGGCGGCGATGTACCCTTACCATTGTCCGACTGGATTTCATTACTTGTGGGATCCGGCCCATAATGAAACTCCCTACGATTAGAAAGTGTTCGTTATATATACGTATATAGCTAGCTGTTATTATCTTATTACATACCTATGCAGTTTCCCACTGTAAAGATCTTGCAGGAATTGCTTTAGCTTGCCGGGCGTATACATATCATTGAAGTGAGGGAAGAGATACATGTGCTTGAACGAGTCGATGGCAATGACCGGTAGATCATCTTCAGATTTGCCCAGGTGGTGTAACGGATGTGCAAACCGTTTACCATCCGCAGTTAAGAAGTTGACGTTCTCTGCATGAATAAAGTAAACAAATATATATATTGATGGAAGATTGTGGGTCAACTGTAGAGCTACATACGCTTCTCATCCAACAACTGTTGCTCAATGATTGCTTTGTAATCTTTGATGGAATTCAGATCATCGGGTTTATAGAACAGGATTAGGAACGGCAGTCCTTCCTCCGTTAGCTCCTCAGCGCTCTCGAATGTTATTTCTCTGACAAGCGGTACACATTTTTCCTGTATCCAGACCTTCAGCTCATCGAAATTGGTTAAGCTTCCTGTATAGGTTTCATCGTTTTCGTGCGATAAAGCCACATCCGGTCTGAACACGATAATGGGTGTGCCTAAATGTGAATAAGTGTATCATTAAAATAGTGAAGAAATGAGCTTTGAGGGACACTAACCTGGAGGATGCATTGCCTGCGAGGCCTCGCCAAAACCAACGTGGAACTGACAATCCTCTTTGAGGTTGGTGGCCACCTTGCGGAAGATGTCATATTCGCTCTGATCTCGTCTATCGAAATAGCCCATAATACTACGCTTTTTGGAGTCCAGATTCTCCAGATCCTTCAACGAATGGAACTCCTTGATGGGATCCTCCAACTGTTTCTTGACAAACTCCAAGAATGCCTCTGCCGATCGCTGGCCACGATACTCCCGCTTACTCAGCTGACCATTGCGAACGATCTTCAATGTGGGATATTTGCTAATATGGAAACGGGAGGCAATTGCCGTTTCACGATCGCAGTCCACTTTGCCTAGCACCACTTTCCCAGCATCTGGGAACTCCGCTTTAATCTGTAATTTTTTGGATTTATCAACGATAAAGTAACAACAACAGCAGCAAAAATTATAAGTTTCATTTGTGGTTAGTTTAAACAGTTTGCACTGAATTGAGAGCACATTTAACTAAATTAAACAAAAGACAAAAATAAACAGACACAAAAGTGTTTCGAGGTTCACATATTTTGTTCATGTTTCTTTGTGGTTTTTTCCTCCATCTGTTTCCATTGTTGATGACAAACAGGTGTAAGCCAGTCATGCAGGTATTATATACAATTCAGTTCTTTTATTTGGCCACATTATACGAGATCTTCCTGAGTAAATAAATAATTTTCGAGAAAAACGCAAAATACGCAAAACTTTCTAAGCACACCTCGCATGTAGCTACAATAACAGCAATATCGAATTCAGCTTCAAAGATTTGTCTTTGTTTTTGAAAACTTTTCCAGCTAGTTATGTGACGCTTTCCATTTATTTATATATACTTACAATAAATTTTCGTTCTTGGCTTACCTTATCCGCCGCTTCATTGAAAATTGGCGCTAAAATATTACTAAACCGACACCATTCCGCATAAAAGTTAAGGAAAACCAATTCGTTAGACGCTGCAAGACAACAATAAGAAATGAATAAGTATTTATTTATTATCTAATTATTGGTAGAATACCATAAAATTGCCAAAAGAAATAACATGTTTGCGATTCTTTGACAAATGAAAAAGAAAGTCAAGATTGTGTTTTCCTTGACATGTTTTTTCATTTACTTAGTTGGAAAATTATCAGGTGACAGCTTTATCTACAAGATAATGGGCTTGGGAGTATATGTATGTCTATATCATTGCACTTTGATGGAGTAGCGCCTCTGGACCAGCAGCAATTAATCTTATCAGCCCTGACAAAGCGTGTAAAAGTATAGAAAACTTTTTGATTAACTGATAAGAAATTACTAATAGCAATATTATTAGAAGGAAAAATAAAACTTTTCATGTTTACTTTGGCAAACTGCCCTCTGAAGGATATTCAGTGCATCTTTTAATCTCACAATGCAGATATTTAAGGTCAATTCATATTTCTATTTCTAGTTCAATTGTGCGCCTGTTCCAGAGGTGTTTGAATGTGAAATGAAGTATGTCTAATTACAGTTGTATATTTTGTTTAGTGAGCGTAGCAAATATATTTGGAGCCAGCGTACCACGCTGGCAAATTCTGTGAAATTTATCGAGCTTCAGATTTTCAATTTGTGACACGTCAAGCGACACACAAGCTTACACACACACACACACACACACACTCTCGCGCACAAATGAAGTGTGTGTGTGCGTGTGCGTGTGAGTGCGTGTGACTGTTTGTATGTATGTACGCGTATTAGTGCACCAGCTGAGATATTAAGTAAATATATGTGTGTTGTATGTAGGTGTGTAATCCATGCGGCTTTTAGTGCATTTAATCTAGCTATGTTTATGTTTCGAAGAAAAACACTGAAGCAGGTGTTATTATTGTCGGCTTACCTAATGTCATATCAATATTTTCACTGGTCATGGGCAGCGCACCACCAGACGCATCTGTGGGATGGTACAGGACATGGAGAACCTGAAATTATCAGAAGGAACAAAAGATTCGACATTATTTGATCATGTTCACAGGTCGAATATACTTTGATTCACATGTCAATTGTCACATTGCGAATGGCCATTGACCAAACAAACTTGGGATATTTCCACGTCTTAGCCGGCCAAGTCACATTCGCTCTGATTCGAGCGGGTGCGGGTAGAACACGTCGACTTACCGCAACAATGGCTAAGCACGAGCCCAGCAATGGCTTTATGGATGCGGTCATGTTGGTGCTGTGGGCGGCAGGCTTGACCAATATTTATAAGCTACTGAAAACTAATTTATTTAATTTTAATTCACTTTTACATTAGGTGGAATGAAAACGCAGTCACGACGTATCTATATATATAATTATTATAACAACTTCGTTGATTATCGTACAGTGTTGGTTAATGTACCAAAGTCGAAGTACCCATGCATAAAACTACCCGTTTTGTGTAACGATTAAGGTATGAAGTGATTTTATAGCTGATAAGTTATTTCTTGCGATCTGAATTCAACAATTTAATATAAGTTGTTAAATTATAATAAAATCAACTATCAATTATATTATATATAAATAAAAACATGATATATTTTCATGTTATACATATAAACAACAATATCACAATAACATATTAAACTAATTAATTCATTTAAAAATAAAATTCTTTGTATATATTATTTATCTTATTGTAATATAAATACCAATTGGTCATAATTTGAGAGGCATATTTTGAGACGTGCCGAATTCAAACTGCAAAAGTCTCGATAACGATAATAATATATTCGATTTTTGTAAGTGACAAAAGTAGTCGGGTTGTTCACGAATACCTATTTGTATGTATGTGAATATTGTACATCTACATATGTATAAGCAACAATATCTGCGAATCTTTGTTTATAATAGCTGACGTTTATGGAGTTTATGGTGCTAAATAAAGAGGAAAACCACAAAACGAGTCTTTTAATTTTTGTAAAAATACCAGGAAACTAACCACAACTGTTATCTAAAGGTGTTCAGCATAGTAATGTATGTATGTTTGTATGTTTGTTTTGGTGTTTTTGTTTTATAAATATTGTGGAATCATATACATATATGTATGTATACTCAAGCACAGGTTTAAGTGTATGTGTGCCTAATTACTTTGTTTATAAAACATATTTCTTTGTTTTTTTTTTCTTTGGCATACGTCCAACAGCAAGGACTTAACGAAAATCAAAATAACTTTGTTTAAAAAAGTTCATCCATATGCATACATATACATGTATGTGCATAATAGAACAATTCGTTGTTATACGCAATTGTATTAAAATGTATGTACATTTGTAAATATAACTGTATTTGTACGTAAGTGCATATGTGTATATATTTATATATATATACGTATTATCTACACTGGCAACCACCACACACAAAAATTGTATTTGTTCATATCTAGTATAACTGCTAATAAGGTGTTTGGATGTTTGAAACATTTTGCATTTAATTGCTTTGCCTTGAGTTCTCGTTTCGAGATATGTAGACGTGTTTGTGTGTGTGCGTATATATATATATATGTACGCTTATATGTATGTGACGTCCTGTTTAACTGGTGTCATAAACGCATAAACAATTTAAAAAAGTGTGTGCGAAATTTTTCCATTGCTGCGGTGCAACAATTAATTAAAATAGTAACCCTGAGAGGATCTCAGGTGTTCGAACCCGAAGCGTATATATACATATAAACGTATGTATATGTGTATGTCTTATAAGTAAAATCTATAAGTGTGTTGTATTTACATACATACATATGCATGTTTGTTACCGTATGTGTACGTGTGTGCCTATGTGTGTGTGCGTTTCTGTGTCTGTGCACTAATTGAATCTTTTATTGCAGTCGCAACACATGATGTCAGATGGATCGCCGCCCCCATCGATTTGTTTTATTCGAGCCGCGGAATCATATCCAAAATCACAAATGGAAAAGGAAGACTCACAGCTGTCAGTGCCCTTTCAAGAGCGTAAGTATCATTGGAATATATCGACGAATAGCTGGCTAAATAAATAATTATGTATAAATATATAATCCATATTTCGACACAACAGTTGCCGGCGAATCAATAAAATACTTGGGCCGCACCGATGATGGAATTTTGGCTCTATCCAACTATCGAATATTCCTGTCAAAGAAATCAACGAACGAGACGTACGTGCCGTTGGGCCTGATTGAGTCGGTGCAAGTACGGGATCCCTTCCAGCTAATTGTTAATTGCAAGGATGCCAGCACTGTGCGCTGTTCGTTTCCAACGGCAGAGCAGTGCTTGGAATGGCAGCGACGCATTCAGCTGCTAATTGGTGTGCCTGAAACGCTTGAAACACTGTTCGCATTTCCATTTTACTCATGGACATGCGACATTATTGGGAACAAGGAGCGCGCTGCTCTAACCAATGGCAACTTCAACTTCAACAAATCGACGCCAGCGCCTGAGAGTTCAAGTCTACAAGCGGCAAGCGAACATTTACATCGCTTGCAGCGTGAAATTCGGTATGAGAGCGACTTTAAGAATGAGGTTGCCCGTCTGGGCTTCGATTTGAAAGGATCATGGCGAATCTCGACGGCAAATACAGACTTTAAACTCTGTCCATCGTATCCACAAAAGCTACTTGTTCCGTGCTGCATTACCGACGAAATGCTTCACAATATTGCCAATTTTCGGGGATCGCGTCGTTTGCCGGCTGTTGTTTGGCGTCATCAAAAGTCTGGAGCGATTCTGGCCCGTTGCAGTCAGCCAGAGGTCGGCTGGCTGGGCTGGAGAAACTACAAGGATGAGCAGCTGTTGAAAGCGCTCGCAGATGCGTGTGCCTTCGACAGAGGCGAACATTCAAGGCGACAGGCTAAAGATACAAATGGAGAGACTGGATCCTCAGGGAAAAGCTCTCCATCGCTGGAGGACTCCTCGCACGAGGAGCTCGCACTGGATGAAATCAGGGTATGCTTAGACAAATTTCGTAATTCTTATCAATAGGGAAGAGCAAGAAAGTTCCCGAAAAAACTGATTTGTGTTATTAATTCCAAATAATCAAATATTAATCGGAACTTTCAATTATATTTTTAGAAAATTCTTATCGTCGATGCACGCAGCTATACGTCAGCGGTCACAAATCGAGCACGCGGCGGCGGCTGTGAATGTATTGAATATTATCCATGCGCCGAAATAGAATTCATGAATTTGGGCAATATACATGCTATACGAAAAAGTTTTCATGCTGTTCGTCAGTTATGTGCATCATCGCCTGACGATCCAAAGTAATTATAGATATATATATATATAATATATAGACTGACTGTATTGTAATCATAAAATTTAAAATTGACAGTTGGTTTGGACAATTGGAGAAAACGATGTGGATGCAGCATCTGTCGGGTCTGTTGGGAGCAACGATGACTGTTGTACATACAATCGAGAAAAATGGTCGTCCCGTTCTGGTGCATTGCTCCGATGGCTGGGACCGTACGCCACAAATTGTGGCAACTGCGCAACTTTGTCTGGATCCATTTTATAGAACAGTTGAAGTACGTTTAGCCTTAACTTAGATTCAGTAAGAGATTCCATTCAATGTCCATAATTTTAGGGTTTCCGGGTGTTGGTGGAGCGTGAATGGTTAAATTTTGGACACAAGTTTGCGGATCGATCCGGAAACGGTCCCAATTCGGATGAGGTGAATGAACGTTGTCCAGTGTTTCTACAATGGCTCGATCTGGTGCACCAAATACACAAGCAATACCCGTGCAGCTTTGAGTTCAGCACAGGTTATTTGGTAAGATGACTTGATCTACTAAAGTAAGTTAATGCAATTTGAATCGTGTCTTTCAGATAAAACTCGCCCAGCACTCATTGTCCTGTCTGTTTGGCACGTTCCTATGCAATTCGCTTAAAGAACGCATCGAGAACTCAGTTTTCGACCGAACATTTTCCGTCTGGCCATTTTTAGCTGAAACTATGTATAGAAATCCACTCTATAAGCACGAGACTGAAAAGGTAAAATCATATACAATTATGGATGTCTGATAGCATAATAGCTTAACTTTCAATTTAATTCCAGGTACTTTGGCCCGCGCACAATGTGCGCTATTTACATTTCTGGTCCGATGTATATCTGGGTAATTTGGGCAATAAAAACGGCACCGATCTTCCTTTGCAAAGCAATGAACGGCAAAGTGTTCATAGCGTGAACGGTAAATGCGACAATTGGTTAATATTATTATATCAGAATTGAACAGTTTTTTTGTCAAACAATATTTGTTCTAGGAGCGACAGCAAAGACTCGATCGACAGAGAACATAACAACAAACGAGTTGTCACAGAGTACGATATCGAGAAGATCAAGTGATCCCAATTTGACTGTGGATTCAATGTACGTATACAACCAGATCTGCAGCTAAACAATGAATAATAAAATTAAATATTTTCAGTGTAACGGATGGCATCAATTTGAGTGCGAACAGCAACTCCATGTTTGACATTCGGTTAGAGCCAAAGGAATGCATAATCGATACGAAATCTGAAGTCAAACAGGACACCGACTTGGTGGACAGTCCAAAACTGGCGGAGCATGCACAAAATGGCTCCACAAAATTGTTAACTGAATTCAAAAACAATGACCAAAGCACTTCATCAGTTCAACGTGATACATTGAGCGCGGGTTCCACATCCATAAATGGCAAGATCACCATTCAGCGCATGGATTCCAAGCCCATTGATTTAGCAATACATACCCCATGTGATTCCCCAAACGGTTAGTTAACTAGTTTACATTCATTTGCCCAAACTTTTGTTTAACTTTTGATATTATTCAGATTATGCTCCCTCCATGTGTGAAAGCTTTAGTGATAATAGCCTAACTCTGCGTCAGGGTCAAGGCCAAATCGATACTAGTACGGATACCTTAATTCCTATAGAAAGTACACAACATGAGACACTTTTAGTGTCAAAAAATCCAATTAAAGACAGCGACGTGCCTTCAGAACAAGATGCCGATGTCATACCTCATGAAAAAAAGACCGAAGCAACCAACGTTGCGCATACCAATAAAATTAGTCAAAGTTATAGCCATTTGCCCCGAGTTCACGTCAAGCCCAATAATCTGAGGTACTTCCAACAGAACGCCAGCGCAAATATAGAGAAAAGCAATGCATTTGAACATCAGTTGGAAGTCCACAAAACAGGTGGCGAGGACAGCTACAAGGAGACAAATGCAACTAAGGATATTTTAAATGGAACAGTGACCTTAAACGATGGCAGCAACACAAGCGAGTCCCTGCCATTATCACCTGAGCACCACAGATGCAATTCTCAAACACATAATATGTTTGCGCATTTTGATGAGTCAGCGCCAAGTAGAAGAAATATGCTCTGGTCGAACCTCAATAGGGAACACACGCATTCAAAATATGCAGAAAATGTTAGGTAAATATTGATAAACGATGCTGCTTAAACTGTCTCAAGACAATTAACAAATTTCAATCTATATTATAGTGCACTTAATTTTCCGGCGTCTGGACTTATATCATTGCCCCCGACACCACAGGGATTGCAAGAGCGAACACAGTTCACAATATCCTGTCCAGATGGCTTGTCACATGGCTTAAGTGAACAGAACATACGACTACACCAAATTGTTCAAGAGCACAAGGTTTTAACGAATACATATTAAAAATCTATAAATAAATATATATATATATATAATATATTATAATTTCTCTTATTTTAGCTACGCGAGGAAGTTCTGTTGCGCGAAATTCATGGAATGCGTTTGGCGTTGTTACAAAAAGGTTGTCCAAGCTGCAATAGTGTCGTATCAACAAATGTGGAGCATGTAATTATGTCATTAAATGTTATATATTATGTATAAATTACATAACAAATCTGCACACATGCAAACCAAATAATATTTCGAATGCATAATGTATGCAAATTTGTTAATATGTTTATTCTAAAGTGAACACAAAATGAGATGAATATATCCAGCCATATCTACGCACTTACCACATGTTCATCAGCTCAACTCTGACAATAACTCTGGCTGGATAGTTTCGATAATAATATTAGCATAAATTTAGGCTAAAAATATTTAAATGTTTAATCGGGACAACGAAACGTGCCGTATTTGTGATGAAAATGGTTTTTGTTTTCGTTGTTGGTCTAATTATTTACATTTCTTTAGGAAAACGGATCGGATATTGTTGAAAATGCATCAACATGTTCTTGGGAAGCCGTAGAAGAACGGAGTGGTCCATCATCGTATGCCACATCCTCGATTCAAGAGAAAAAAGCTTCAAGTGTCCTCTGGGTACCAGATCATGCCGTTTCGCGTTGCTCTAATTGTCAAATTGAATTCTGGCTTGGACGAAGAAAACATCATTGTCGGTGCGCATTTCAACATATTCTTTTATTTTCTCCTACCTGTACCTGTACCTGTATCTATTATGTTCATAACATACCTTAGCTACCTTAGCCACACACATACATACTTACTATATACTATGGGCCAATAGCCATTTCTAAGCAATCAATCTGGCACCAGTTCGTAACTAATATCTTATCGTATCTTGTATTATTTTATATGTTTTATTCTATTATGTTTTTGGAATCACACCTTGCTGTCATCATTAGCAAAGCTTCTCAATCTACTATAAGTTACCATTAGGTCCTTTATTTGTGCTTTATTATTCTCATTGTTTCGCAACAAGATGATGCCAGATTTGAAGACAGTGAAAGAAAATTGCAAATAATGAACTAATGTCAGATTGGCTGTGATAAATATTTTCTCATTTTGTAACAAATTCAGATTAACATATCGTATTCAGTGCTAAATATGGTTGTGTTCAATTTACGATTGTTTTTAACAAACAAGTCTATTTGATCTCTATTAACAACTTCAAATTTAAATTTAAATACCAATTGTCTTTCATCTCCTTACAGATCATGTGGCGAAATTTTCTGTGCTGACTGCTCTGAATTCTGGGCGCCTTTACCATTCGAAAAGCTTTTCAATCCAGTAAGACTTTGTGGCTCTTGTTATACGACCGTTACAACACAAGTACACGAATGTAGCCTTCCTTCCAATACAAATTCAAATGGAACTTCAAATTTGATTGCGATTTCAATTTCAAACGACGGGGCTACGAAGAAGCCTTCTTCAAGCTCTCAACAGTAGTTTTCCATTAGCTTTAGGGTTCTGACGTTGAAACAATATGTAAATATAATATACTCAAATATTTATTGCATATATATAAATGTTAACACTATTATAGCAAAAAATATATAAAATACAATTGAGCGGACTTGTAGAAATACATGAAATTATACAACAAATTTTGTTAGACATCTATATGGATATATAAAATTGTATATATTCATATGTAATATGGACACAATTGTAAATTCAAATACCAAACTAAAACAATTATAACAAAAAAAAAGTCTTTGAATTTTTCTTATAATTAATAATTGCTGAGACTCGCGTAGAAGGGTGATATTTATAAGATATAGCAAAAGTAAAGCAGTGAGTGCGTGAGAGAGAGAGAGAGAGCGAGGTATGGCATTTAACATGTTTTTTTCTTGTTTTATTAAATTAACACTTTGTGTACGTAAATCAATTATATTACATATATATATATAACATATTATACAACAAAAACAAATTCAAACTCGAAGTCTACTTGTTCATTCGTTTGCTTCTATATGGTGATGAGGTAGCTTTGGCGGCAGTTTATAGGGTCGTACGTATTTCATATTAGTTTTGAGTGTTTCGGGCAACATTGTACTGGATAGCAGGCTGCGTAGGAAGAAATATGTCAAATAGCCAGTAATTCCCCAGATGCGAAGTTGATCCACCACAAACACGGGTACGCTGTAGCCAGTGCGAAATTGAGTGTGTCTAGTGGCTGTTGGGGAGATTAGTGAGTTGATTGGTATGCAGAAAACCTCCTCCACTTCGTCCAGGTTAATCTTGAGTTCGGAAACATGAAAATCGTGCACTACGCCCACAACTGGTACGATGGCGGCGGTGCGTGGTAAAAATAAAAGTTTCCCTTCACCCCACATTTGAATGCGTTGTCGTGGTAGACCAATCTCTTCCTCCGTTTCTCGCAGTGCACAATCCATAAAGCTCTCGTCACTTTCATCTCGTTTGCCACCCGGAAACGATATTTGTAGGCTATGGCTACGCAAGTGTCGAGAGCGGCGGGTGTATAGTATCGAAACTTCATTCCTGCGGGAGCTAAGTTTTATTAAATGCATTAAAAAGGAAGCCTAAATATTTTTACTTACGTGTCCCGCTCCTGACACAAAGCTATTAGCACGGACGCTGTGTGCTTCTCATGCCTGCTGGGATGCCACGACTTGGGTGGAGGAAAGACCGGCATCTTGCGTAGCCGATCCATGCAGCGTTCTCGCTGCACATCACCCAGGAGTTCCGTAAAGTCGTCCACAGTTAGGAGTTTTACATTGGCAGTTGACGCACTGTTACTTTTGTTTCTAGTTTGATGACATATTAGTTGCCGCAACCGACTCCTTGTCAGAGAGCTGATGACGTAAGCTTTTGTCAGGCATATTTCGGTAAGAGTCATTAACTAATTTGTTAATAAGCAAAAGTGATGTAAACAAAAACGAAAGAGATTTGAACTTTGTATTGCCAGCTGTATGCTCAGCTGTTTTTGATTAATCTTGTGTATCGATTGCTGTTCAGAAAGTAGTCGCTCCAAATAATCGATAGAAGTTAACTTATCAGTTTAGTATATTTTATCTTGTATCGATATATCGCCAAGTTCTACATCTCTAATCGGCCAGGCTTTTGCATAAGCGTAAGTTAATAACAACAAATTATTCGGCAATTTTCTAACAAAGTTCATTAAAGCCATTAGAAAACGAATACGCACTTGACACGTGTGCGTACAGAGTAAGCAATTGATTCCATTGTACACAGCTAAATAAGATTGGCAGTGGTGTTTCATGCATTTCCATTACGTAACCCAAGAAAACAAATAATAAAAACGAAGCCTTTTAACACTTTCATGTTGTTGCACTCATTACTTGTTGTCTGTTTACAGTTTCATTCGCACTGACCAAGACACATACATATGGGCAGTAGTATCATCTCGCAGCTGGCGCGAAAGTACGGTGCAGTGATATTCTTTCCAACTGTTACAGTCGGCTCCATCTACGCTGATTGGTCACATACACGCGAGTGGAAACGCCAACAACTTTTAGCAGCACACTCCGCGGCGCTAAAGAGTCAAAGCTAAAAACACAATAAATAATCAACACTAACGATGGTTCTTGGTCTGGACAAACGTGCCGTGTGGGCAGCACTGCCACTGCTTGGACTTGCGATCGGTCATTTCTTGGACAAGAAGGAAACGGAACGCATGACCATGTTTCGTGACAAGAGCGCCCTTTATGGCCGTCCCTCTGGCAGCGAGGACAAGCCACCGTCTTGGTGATTAGCCATTAGAATCACAACTAATTTTTTTCTTCTCACTGTCGTTAAAATAAACTGTAATATGGCTATGTGAAATGTTCGAAAATGTGATCTATGGCTTATTAAGTGGAATTCTGTGTGCATATGTGTGTGAGTGTGTACCTGTGCCTTAGAAGTGTAGGTTCAGAAACCTAAGTATTACAAACCAATCTGGCTGACCTAACATCTTGCGGTCGCTTCCACTAGTGCTGACAACTTTTTAGCAGCAGCAGGGTAGAAATGCTGTAATAGCAGAAAAGCTAGATTTAGCTAGAATAGCTGAAATTTCAGTTTTATCTTTTAGATACTTTTTATGTACAACTTTATAATTCACTGAATCACTTCACTTTTCTTAACCTTACGTCTTCCAAAATTAAGAAGTAGACAATACTATAAACAGCTAAAATTCCCGCTGACTGCTTTTTTCAATTATACCCCCCGCTGCAGAAAGCCAACTATGGTGGAAATCTAAAGGATTTAGCAACTCTGATAACTACACAAACAATGGTGAGCAATACACACAAACCGCGGACCGTGGGCGAGCCGTAGCTAGATTTATTTGTTGTTAAGGATTACGTCGCTGCCTGTTTCTTTTGGCCATTGTTTGTTTAAGACATGAAAAACCATAAAACCATCAACACACGGGCCAACGATAAGCCAAAGATAACTCGTTTATTTAGTCTTCTACCTGGTACGGAACACACACACACAGACATTCACACACTTGCATGGAAACGAAAATCACAGCTAGCCTCAATATTGCAGCCTACGTGTAAGCGAGATAGCAAGAGCAGTGTTTTTATGCGCAAAATCCGTTAGGATTTAAAACAGCTCGTGTTTGCTGAATGAAAAATATCATATTGAAATTCATAATAACTAAGCTCACAAATAGATATTTGTGTCTGGCTGTGTAACATAATCCGCTCGAGCGGCGCAAACGCAGACACCGAGCGAAACAACCGACACACAAATTGAAATGCCAATGCAACAAAACTAATTTATTTTTATGGTCACAAGCATAGAGAATTGTTCAAATTGCGGGCGTGCTGTGCCAAAGGACCCATGTCCTTAGACACAGCCATCAATGCACATCCAACGGTTTTTATTTTGTACACAGGCTCAAGGCAACAGAGCGACTGCGCAGCGTGCAAGATTGGCAAAGTGCGTACTATTGTCGCAGTCGTCACCATTTCTATCTCTTTCTGTGTGTATGCGTGAGTGCGACAGAAATAGCGACAACCTTCCAGGAACGTAACAAGATATGCAACTAGTGATGAGCAGCGTTGTCATTTTTGAAAATATATCACTCTGCGGGAGTGTTGCAGTGACTGTCGTATTTCGTGTTTGTCTATATATAGGGCCGAAAAAAGTGAAGCTCGAATCGAGCCAGATTCTAGATAAATTTTATAATTAATTAAAATTAGTTTAATCAATTATTGCAATTTAATAAGCAAATAAGAATGTTTATTTATATATCTAGTTGGATTGTTTATACTCTTGTCACAGTGACACGTACACGTTTTCTGCTCATCTCTAATGTGTAGGCAGCACGCAACACTTGTTTGGTATATGTGCTGTTGTTGTTTTTCGCAGGTAAAATTGTGTGTGTGGGTGCGCATGCGCTTATACAAGAGTGCGAGTGTGTCTGTCTGTTTGTATGTGTGTGAATTTGCCGAAAAACTTGTTTGCAGGAGTAGAGCCATGAAATCAGTTAGTTTTCGGCATTCAAGGCAAACAGAACGGTAGTAGAGGAACAGAAATTGAAAAGTGGAAAGAGTATTTGGAAATAAATAGTTATTGCTCCTTCGTTGGAAATCACAGCCACAAGATGAGCAAAGAGCAGATCGAAGGTGGCGACTCGGCAATGAAATCCACCTCAGAGTTTGCTAACAAGACGCTGCAGGACTACGAGGTGCTGGCCGTGATGGGCAATGGAGCCTTTGGCACCTGCTACAAGGTTAAGGATAAGACCACTGGTGTACTCTACGCCTGGAAGGGCATGAACTACGATGAGCTGGACGATGATAAATGTGAATCTCTCATATCCGAGATAACTGTGCTCCGTCAGCTGCAGCATCCGAATATTGTGCAGTACTATCACCACCTGGTTAATCGCGAGGCCAAGTCCATTTACATTGTGATGGAGTGTTGCGACGGTGGCGATCTAGCCCAGCTGATACAGCGCGCCCGCTCACAACGCCAACGCTTCGAGGAGCCATACATTTGGCGTGTGCTCTTCCAACTGTGCCGTGCTCTGCAGGTCTGCCACAACAAGATACCCAGTGGAACGATTCTGCATCGTGATATCAAGCCTGCAAATATCTTTCTGGATGCCTGTGGGAACGTGAAGCTCGGTGATTTTGGTTTGGCACGCGTTCTGCGGCGCGATCAGAGTTTTGCGGCCAGCTTTGTGGGTACGCCACACTACATGAGCCCGGAGCTGGTCAAGGGCAGGCAATACGATCGCAAGAGCGATGTCTGGGCTGTTGGCTGTTTGATCTATGAGCTGTGCGCATTGCGTCCGCCGTTCCGTGGACGCGCCTTTGAGCAGCTCTCCGAGAATATAGCACATGGCCAGTTCAGCTGCATTCCTGCGGTCTACAGCGCTGATCTGCAATCGATAATTAGTTTTATGCTGGCCGTGGATCATGAGCAGCGACCGGGCATTGAGGTGATCACACGCCATCCGCTGCTGGTGCGGAATATAAAGCAATTGGTTGCCGAATTTCCTCGCCTTGTGGACGCCGGCGAGGATTTCCAGTTGCCCGGCATGGGCAAACTGTTTCCCGATTCGCCAGAGCTGTCCAGCACGCTATTTACGGAACAGTATAGCTTCAATGAGGGCTATGGCCAGCGACGTTTGAGCGTCACTGGCGTCTTTACGCCCGATCTGCGCAGCGAGCTCTTCTACTCGGCCAAGCGTCGCATCTTTGGCAGCAAGCAGTTGCTGAAATCGGATCCATCGCTCTACGAGAGCATCAAACGTGAGCACAGTCCGCAACGACTCACGCAGAACATATTCGATGAGGCGCTACAGAAGCGCATGCATGCAATACGAGCACAGGAGTCGCTCTTGGAGCAGCGCGCAAATGAGCTGTTAGCAGCCGAGCAGCGGGTGAAGGCAATGGAACGTGAGCTGCGGACTAAACTGGAGCAGGCAGAGCAGCAGGCACAGCTACAGAAACTGTGTAATTGCCAGGTGGTTCCGCCCGTGCCGCCACGCAAGCCGCTGGCCAAACGTCACGATGACACCTACTGCAGCATTGAGCTAAACGAGACCTCGCCAACGGTGGCCAAAATGAATCTGGCCATGATGACAGCGCCCAAGCAGCTGCAGCTGCAGCTGCAGAGCCAGGGCAATACATTGCGCAAGGTCACATTTCAATCACCTCCGAAATGCAGCAAGTATGCGTCGGAGCAGTCAGCGACGGCTCCCATTGCTCCGCCAGTGCTGCCGATGCAGACGAGTGTCTCCAGCAATGAGTCCGCCGAAAGCCAGGCGTCCAGCACGCGTCGCAAGTCCATTTTGTCGCTGTTCGGGCTGAGTCGAGTGAGCAAGGCGCCTGCCAAATCAGCAGCAGTCACAGCAGCTCCAGCTGCGGCCACGCATCAGCAACAGCTATCGCAGCAGCAGCGACGTCCGCCATTGGCTGCTAAGCTGCCAGCGACGCAGCAACTGCCGCCCCAAAAGCAGCAGCAGCAACAACAACAGTTCAACAACATGTGGACCAAGGAGCAGAAGCGCGCTGCCTTCGACTTGCTTGCGGCCATGAATGCGGCGGAAAAGGATTCGGCCAGCGTTGTGGCCGCGCGTCGTCAGCAGCTGCGCCAATCGGTGCGGGAGCGCAACAGCAGCATGCAACGCAATCGGGCGATGCGGCGCTCCCTCGTTCTGACAGCTGGTGGCGCACAGCCAAAGCCGTTGTTGCTTGGCTCGCGTGAGCAAATGCTGATTTAAATTGCAATTGAGGAATCGTTTTCGAGTTACTGAAGGGGGCGCTCAAAGTGGCCCGCCTTGTGATGTGGACTAAGTACCAATTTTTTTGTCAACCTTTTTTTTTGAAACGACAGTTTTGTTCCTATTTTATGTTTATATCGTATTTTTTAGTTGTAAGAAAAACCAATTGCGCTTTGTGCAATTTACAATGTAATAAAAGAAAAATTAGTGCCCAAAAAAAAAAAAATTGCACAGCCGTTATAATTCAATTGCTGTGCTGATCAGATCGATACCTATCGGAAGCTATTGCAGCAAATATCTGGTGCGATTGCCTTGCTCATGTCTCTTGTATAGTCAATATTATTAGTTGTTAGAAATTTAATTGTGGAAAATGATCACGACTTGTTAAATTAACAAGTGAATAGAAAATTGTGCTAAAAATGCTGAAACACGATATACACCAGTGATTGATAGGTGAATATCGATATTAGATGTATTGAGTATCAGTTGCATGGCTCATCTCTAGCATGCTATATTTAGCGGGTTTTTGTTTTTGTTTTCTTGTTTGTTTACATTTAAAATGTCGCCGCTTGTCGAGCAAGATGTTCCCGAATTTTTGTTACAACGTGATACAATCGCCTACTGCAGTCAGCTGCATGTTAGGAAATCCAAGTCTAGTCTTGTACTTGGGCGCAATCTTAAGTTTTATGAATTCCGCAAAAAGGAGTTGTTGCATCACATCGACCTTATGGAAACAAGCCTCCAGCAGCTCGCCACGAAACTTAAGTCGTACAATGGACCGCTCAGTAGATTTCTCATACGTGATGATGTGGCCGACAGCAGCGGCGATGCGACCAGTTACAGCATGCTGCACGTCCCTGAGGAGCTGCCCCTGAGCATAGGCAAATACGTTTGGCTGGGCGAGCACATTTACGTGCTGCTCCAATGCTGGCAGAAGTTGCTTGTACTTCGCCGACCAGATGAGCAAGGCGCCAGCTTTCAGCTCATTGCACAGCATGACAACCTAAACGAGTACAAGCTGGTCAGGGGACCCATACGGTATCAGGCCTATGTGGAGCTACAGTTTACTAATGGCAAGCGATTGCGCACCAATTTTCAAGGTAGTGAAGTGCCTGAGAGTCCTCTAGCCGGTAGCGGCAGCGGCACTGTTGCTGGCTTTAAGCGACTGATGCAGCGCGTCCATTGCGCACGCGCCGAGTTGCATTCGCAGCGTAGCCAAACTCAGCTGGACTTTGTGCAGTCACGCGAGCTGCAGGCCTTCGGTGTGCCAGGTCAGCGCTCGTTGTTGCTGGAGGAGAAGCAGCTGTTGCGACGCTGCGGCGACATATGGACGCGCATTTGTGGCGATTCTCTGGTGCTAGGCACCCTCCTAACCAACATGGCGGGCACAAGTTGCAACAGCACGCTGCACGCTCTGCGACCATTGCTGCGCCTGCCTCATGGCTCTGGCTTAAACTATGTTCATCGACTGTACGAGCTGCCGCTGCAGGCTGATGGCCAACCGCCGGAGGATTACGATAAGCTGGCCCAGTTCTGGGCCATGCAGCAGCAACAGTCCGGCAACAGTTTAGGCTGGCTGCCTGCCTCCTGTGTTGATCAGCTGCCACCTGAACGCAGCGCCGTGTTGCTTGTGCGTCTGCAGCTGGAGGATTTGCTAATGCTGGATAGCATACAACTGCTTGCTTTATACGAGCTGCAGGGCGAGTGCAAGCGACAGCTGCAGCTGCATATAGCCAGCATTAATGTGGCCGCAGTGCTGCAGCAACAGGAGCTGCATGTGCCGAGCTTTGCTCCGCATACGCTACATCAGGACTTTCTTGCTGTGATCATGACTCAGGCGGCGCACTGCGCTCTGCGACTAGTGTTTCAAGGCGTGGAGCAGCAAACGCAATTCGAGCAGCTGCTATTGATTAAACTAAACTTTGTGGCCACAACTGTGCCGCATGAGAAGCATCAACAGCAGCAATCGGACTGTAAGGATCTTAGTTATTTCTTCAAGCTAGTTGAATATCTAAAGAGTTTATATCTCTCGCACTCTCTCGCTCTACAGCCATGCAACTGCTGGATGACTCTTGTCCGCAGCAGGAGTTTGCCTTTGACAATGGCAACACGGATAGCAGCAATGGCTGCACAGCATCTGTCCATCGCATCTTCTATAATGGTCCGAAGCGGCTGCTTTTGCTGCGCAACGATCCTGGTAACCATTGGCATTTCTATGCCAGCAGTGAGACGCAGCTGTGCCTCTTGGTGAGTCGTCTGCTGCGTGATCTCTTGCAGCTGCATTGCAATCTATCGCTGATCGAGCTACAGGCAGAGGCATGCAGTGCGCCCTCAAATGCATCACTTCTATTGGAATCAGCGCTGCGCGACGAACTGCAAGCCCGAGCAGAGCTACTGCAGCAGCAACCACAGCGAGCGCAACTCCACGCCAGCACCTCAAAACGTCTCCATCAACTGGAAATGGTCAGCGATTCGCTGATAACTGTGATAAGGACCCAAACGCAGTCAAATAGCTAGCTGTTTGGGTAGTAGAGCATTTAATACTCGATGTTAATTCAAATTTTTATTTTCTTTATAATTTTTAATAGTTTTAATTGTTTTTGTATACAACATGTGCGGTCATAATATATGTTTTATAGTAGACAAATGTTTCATGCTTTATTTAAAGGTTTGCAAATGTAAAAAAAAGTAAAACTTTAGCTTGGACGGAAAGTTTTATACATACATACATGTGAGCTTATCCTAAACAGGCATATATATGTATATGATATATAGGATTCAACTGCATTACATTTGCATCTTAAGCAATTTGCATAATTAAGCAAATTGTTCAGAAACATTTACATTTTTATATACAACAAAACTTAAAACTAATTTAAAGCACTTCAAATGAAGTTTGTTGGGAATTGTAGAATATATAAAAACATATATACATATCTAAGTTTATAGTTTTTCAGAAAATTTTTGTGAGCTTCGAGCACTGCAACTGCTGCGTCGCTGCTGCTCCTCGCTTTTGATAATATTGTCAAGGACATTCTCTAGATTTTGTGTTGCGGCCGAGAGTTCGGCATTGTCGCTGTACGAGTCTTCGACAATCTCTCTGACCTTATTTAGCAGCAGCTTAAAGTTAACCATTTCCGTATCACGCATATCCACATTGACAGACTGCTCCAGCAATGCGCCCAGCGGCAGCTGCTGCTGTTGTTGCTGCTGCATGGCGGAAGCAGCTTTGGGCAACAGGCTCGAACGCCGCTGATCGAACCACAAACTAATATCGCTCAACGAATAATCCGACTTATTGGCCTCCAAGTAGCTGCGATTCAGTTCAGCGCCGTTGACTAAGAGATAGAAAGAGAGAGAGAGATCAGTTTTGTCTAGCAATTTGTTAGTCATGAGATTAATATATTTGTTACGCACTTGAATGTGTTAAATTGGCGCCCACTGGAGCGTACATATCATATGGAGCTGGTGCTGCAGGCGCCGGTGGCACACGTTGTGGCGTGCTGGCATTTAGAAAAGTGGAGCTGATCAGCGGTGCAGCAGAGGAAGCACGCTGAAAACACATCAAATGATAAGTTATATAAGTTATAAAATATATATATATAACACCCACCGATAGCTGACGCATATCCTCAATTATTTGCAGCAAGAAACTTTGATGAGCGCTCAGAAATTCACATATTTGAGCACTGGATGTGCTGGACAGCAGTTGCAGTTGCGTCTCAAGTTTGCTGCAAAAAGCACCAGAGGAAGCGTGTGAAAAGCGTTGTAAACGTGATTAGTGTTTGCTACTTACGCATTTTGTAGTAGTACACGATCGATAATGGATTGCAGACGCTCCGAAGCATTGCTCGCCAGGCCTGTTAGGGAACCTGCAACAGCAAAAAGTAAAGATGTAGATTATTATTGAATGGTACAAAATGTTAAGCTGTTGGCTTCAACTTAATCATTTGTCCTATTGTAAGTTCTTGCTAAGTCCTTTCGACTTTGGCCGGCTGACTTGTCAGTCATGCATGCTTGACAGAACATCGGTAACTGGTTTATATAAGTGAGCTAGTCAACTTATATAACTGATTTCTTTTTGATATAATATATCAAATACTTCTCTCATGACATACAGAGTTCCTGTTGTGGTTGCTGCTGCAGCTGTGGCTTCTCATTGGGCGACGCCTTAATGCGCAGCGTCGAATTGCTGCGAATGCTGCGCGTCTCGGCTGGAATGGGTGCCAATTCGGTAGCATTGTTGGGCTGACCGACACCAGCGGCGCTTTCTTGTGCATTGCAAAAGCCGCGTCGCTCCTCTTCCTCTGCATCGGCGCGTTGGCTTTTCTGCGTATAGGCAAACCAGCCGCAAAGGCGTGCCAAATAGTGGGTCCAGCGCTTCGGTTGCGGCTGATCCTCGACAAAGACTTCGCACATGCGATGCGAAGGCTCATGCTTGCCGCTCACATGCACGGCCGAGGCAAAGCAGGGTAGACACAGCGATACATCGCGACACACCTGGCACTTGAAACGTATTCCAATGATATGTTCCAGGCGACAGCCGGCGCACTGATTGCTGTGTATTAAATGTTCCGTATCTTCGATGCGTTTGATCAGTGCCAACAAATTGCCATAGATAAGAAATCGTGTCTGGGTATGCGACCATAAGTTGTGAAACTGCTGTTCGCTAAGGCCGGCGAGTCCGTGTGGACAACGTGCAAAGGACTGCTCCAGCATAGGCTGCAGATTGTGGGGGCCATAAGCCTTCGTTTCGCCGAGATAGCTAAGCAGCTTACTGAGCGTGTGTAAAAGCTGTTCGAACGCATAGCGTGAAACACACTGTGATTTGGCATCCACCAGCAGGCTGTAGAAGTCACCAACCATGTGCTCGCTGCTATAAAGTTTGCAGAGCAGCAAAAATGTCACCTTGATCTCCAGTAGTGAAATGGAGTGACGACGTTGCCTGCAAAGCAGTAAGATAGAAAGACGGATACACATATGAATAGCACAGGCAACACATACGGATCGTAGATATTCCAAAAGAAGTTAGCCAATAGCGCTGTAGCCGTGTCAAGTTGATAGTTTTGTGTTTTAGTAAAGTGACCCAGTTTCTCGCAGGCGAAATATATGTCATGCAGCAGGGAGGTGAGCTGAAACGGCGGCACCATCAAATTCAAATTACTATTGCCACTGCTTACGGGCATGCCATGCCGTTCCAATATGGCCAGCACTAGTTTATAGGGTATTTTACTAGCTGTAAATATTGAGTCATAAATCAAATGCATTTTATATGTATATGCGAATATAACCCCGTTGCTTACTGTGAAATATCTTTTGCAGCGCGACAAATTTGCTGGCGCAGCGATAAACAGTATATTTGTAATTGCCATAGTCCAATTGCAATTTGGTTATTATCTCTGTTAAGTTTGAGGCAACTTGTTGCGGCACCTGTTGCGTTTTGCTTTCTAGTTTTTGTCCTTTGTTGTTTGCCAAGGACGCAACGGCGGCGGCGCTTGTGCGCAGCGTTGTCATTTGCGTGTTAACTGCAGTGCTCAGCATATTGCACAGTTAGTCTATTACACTTGGCACGTTTTTGTTTTATTATTTAATTTGTATTTCAAATATAATTTACAGCGTCGTTTTCTTTCGTTTCTGGCGTTCCCCACGACGTTCGTTAGCGCAAAAGTCAAATTTGAAATGAATGTGTGGCAACGCTGTTGCGCATGCGCTTAACAACACTGCAGTGCTGCCAGCTGATGCAACACTACGGCCGTTGCGCTTTGAATTTTCTCAAAATTGAGTTGGCGTTCTGCATTAAATTTGCTAGAAAAACAAAAAGGTTCTAAACAAGAATCACTTATATATTATTACGATAAACATTTAAACGACACGCCCACATATGAGCAATGCAACAATTGCGTAGGGTAAGTATGCAGATCACAAATGATTTGCAAATGTCGCTATCGATATTCATATCGATTATTTTAAATTACCTTATTAGTTATCAATATGTTTAAACTATTCCCATACTAATGGGACGCTTGAGTCCTCGAAAATCATTTAATAAAGACAAATATGTATATGTCATGTAGCTGCTTGCAATCTAACAGGGCTAACAGTTCACTATATATTGCCTTGGCCTAAAGCATTCTGCACAGTGTCCTTGATCATCATACCCTTCTAAGCCATTCTCATATAATATTAACAGTTTCTTTATGAACATCTATGCATAGTTATGTGTCTTTAATATAATCTATGACAAAAATGTCATAAACTCAGTATGTGACGTCCACTCTCAAGCTGCTGATTGACTAGCTGACAAATTGTTGCAGTCATGTCGTTGCCCCACCCAATTCCCACCTGTGCGAAATGGTTCAAATGTCATAACAAGATGGAGCACACATGTCATGCCAACACAAGGCTTATACATATACACATACATACATATGTAAGTACATCACAGACACTGGCACACACATTCACACAAATCCACATACACAATTGCAGTTGCATTTGCATGCACAGTGTACAATGGCGGACAGAGAGCTGGGTCTGGGAACAATAAGAAGCATGTTGGGCGTCGTTGGCGTCCAACTGCCTGCACCAGGCAATAATAATTCGCCAGTGCCAGTCATTGACAATGTCGGTGCCATAATGGCTCTCCACTGACTGACTGACTGACTGACTGCTGCAGCAATTCGAATACCCTGTACCGATAGTTCTGTCAAAAGGGTATATACACTAAATACTGTTGTTTCTGTGGGCGTCGTCTGAAAAATTCCCGATCTAAATGTGAAGATATTGTATATTATTTTATTTTTATTTATTTTTTAACTTGGAAATTTTTACAAAATCCTATCAAAGGTTAGATAACTTGTCATTGTATATTTTAATTACAGAGTATTGTGTAGTGTCATATGCCGACTGCCATATTTGTTGCTTTTGTTGTCAACGCTGCCGACAGAGGGCGCTACACCTACAATTGTGAGAGTCGTCTAAATGAATGAATTAAGTCAGCCATGTGACATAACTGGAATGACCGCCCAGCTGCTGCTGCTGATGCCCAAAGTCCCAGTCTCAGTCGCTGGCTTACGCTGAGCCCCTTAGTCCCCTGGATGGAGTCGCTGCAGAGGCAACTGCTGCCAACGCCTCACGTTGAACATTTGCCACATTGTTTTGTTGCTGTCATTCCTGACGCCTTCTCTGCTGCTGCTCTTGTTGTTGTGATTACGTATTTGTTGGCCGTTGCCAAAGTTATATGGCGCACACGTACAACAGCAGCTCCCGCTGCAGGACAATGGCAAATGCCAGAATGCAAATGGCGTGTGGACGTGAACGAATCGCGCACACGGCGCAAAATGTTGTTGGCCTGCCCTCTTCAATTACATATGCAGGCCGTGGGAAGCTGAACTCATCACATTGCACTTAGCGAGGAGCGTGACACGTGACACGAACAGAAATGCAAATGAGCCGTATAGTTAAAAGTGCACGTGCATGCATGCAAACATACATACATAAAATAACGTAAAAAGAAGAAAAACTATGCATAAATGTAATTTAATTGATAATAATTAACATAATTGATTATAGTACATTATGAAGTAACGATAGTCTTTTGCCTTGTGCCTGATGCACCTAAGGCACATCTCTAAATCGAATAACCAGTTACTCCGGTCTGGCGTCCAGCGCGCCAATTAAGCAACAAAAGCTTGGCCGCTTGGTGTGGGGCTGCGCCTTTAGCATTACCGTTACCGTTACCGTTGGCATCGTCGGCGCGGCCATGTTGACGACTTGGCCGCCATTAAAACGAAGCGACGTTGTGAAATGTTTTGATGAAGCCAATGCCCGCTCCCACCCTGCCGCTAGTCCCAACAACTTGTCTCTGCTCAACTTTTAAAGCGATTGTTTTTTTTGTTGCTGCTTTTTTTGCTTCTGTTTGTTGCACATTTTGCAACAAAGTTGCCTCGAGATGCCGTTGCTCAGTGTAGTGGCCAATACGTTTGCCAAATGGCTGCAGCGACCGGCGTCCGACTTCTATGGCCCCGGGCATTCAATTTCTCTTAACATTTTGTTGTTGTTTTTTTTTTATTTTTATTTTTTATTGTTTAAAGAGAGAAGCAAGAAACAACAACGCAAATGGGGGGAGAACAACTTGAAGTCTGTGCGCACAACAAGTGGACATGGAGTAGGAGCCAAGATGGCTGCCTGCTTGGCTGCCTGCCTGGTTGCTTGGCTGCATGCTGCATGGCTGCATGGCTGCCTGACTGCCTCGCTGCTAGTTCGTATGTTGCTCGTTAACGGTAATGGGAGCAGAGGCTGGTCTATTACGGGTCACGTGGATGGTTTAATTATGACTTTCAGTGCTTGCACTATTATCACATAATAAAAAATGCATTTGCTACTAATGATGTGGATTTTGGAATGTGCAGTATTTTATTTCATTAGATGCATTGAAAATTGAAAATTGAAAATTTGCGCAAAATGCTGACTTTAATTTAAGCTTCAAATCACATTGGACCACATTGCCTAAAATGTTCGTCGTGCTGTGAGTCAAGCACGTCAGTTAAAGCACTTTGTGATCACGTCCATAATTACTGGATTGAAATCGTTTGTCATTTTAATCGGAAGTGTGCAATGAAATGCATATGTTTTCTTTTCAGCCATTTAAATGTTTGCTGCTTTTTGTACTGCCAGCGCGTGTGCAAACATGCCCATCGCCTATTTATTTATCCGCGAAATGCACACCTCAGCAAAGTGGCAGTCATTTATTTATTTATGTGCCAATAAAGCCCACAATGTTCGCGGCGCTATGTCACTTCCATTTATGGAGACAGGAAATGAAATGGAATGTAAAAATATTCATTGCGTTTGCTCATTGCCTATTTTTTTTCACTTGCACATTACAAGAATAATATCGATTGGCGATCGCTTGACACGCGCCCATCTCTCATGCAGATCGACTGCTCTTTAAAAACAAAATGGTGTCGGAGAGTGCGAATGTCATGGCTGCTCATTTCAAATCGATCAAGTTTGAATGACAACTTTTCATATCGGCAGGAGAGAGACGGAGACAGAGGGATAGCGAGAGTAAATATTAAAGCGTCTGGTGATTGGCGTTCGCTGCTGACTGGCCGACGTCAATCCAATTAGTTGCGGACAGTGCAAACACGCAGCGTCCGGCATCGTCTACTCAGTTTCACTCCGAATGTGGCTGCCGGGCAATAAAAATGAAAACAACAACAAAGAATAATATCAGCAGCACCAACAACAGCAGCACCCAGCAGCAGCAGCTGCAACAATAACAACAGCTGCCCAAGTGGTATGAAGAAGGAAGCGAAAGGACATGGATCCATGCCGAACGGGGACACATTCACGCGCGTTGGCACGTGTACAGTGAACGTGTGTGTTTTTGTGTTGCTGTTGTTGTTGTTGTTACTTTATGTATTGTTGCTGTGCATTGGTAAGTTGATGTGGGTGATGGACGCGCACGGAGAGTAGCTTTTAAATACCTCGCATATGCTGTAGGGTATGATATAACCATGTCAGTTTCTGTCTTGCTATATGCTCCACTATCTTAATGAGTTATAGTTTTATACCATATAATCAATAATATTTATTTTGTCCCGTTAAAATTTTCCTTTTTTAAAAATCGATATTTGTGGATTTCGAATTTATCAATAATATTTATTTTGTCCTGTTAAAATTTCATTTTTTTAAAAATCGATATTTATCGATTTCGAGTTTTCTTTTTATATTTAAAAATATTGAGAGTTGGATATTTAAGCTACTGCTTATCGATTTAGAGTCCACTTTTTACGTGATATAAGCTATAAATCACATTTGAATATCGATGCTTATCGATATTTATTCGATATTAAGTTAATTTGTACTTTAAAATCGTATGAATAACTTGATAATTAAGTACTCCGCATTTAAATAACAAATAATATAATATCGCTATATATTGATAAACAGTTGTCTCTTAGAGCTTGTGATATTTATCGATTTTAAGTCTTCTAAAGTGCTGAATACACATAATTTGCAAAAAAACAGGGTATTACTTAGGCCATTCCTGAGAAGAGTTTCTTCTCCACGTCCAGTTTTTTCTTGGGTTTTCAACTATTTATGAGGTTGAGCTGTTTGCTTAGTTTTATTATATTGCAAAAGGACTTGTGACTTGTGTCATAATTTAATAATGTCCGAGGGCTTTCAATGAAATCATTCTTCAAATTTAATAGTCCCTTAATTTTAATTGGATTTCACATCGAAATCGCAAAATGTTTAGAACGTTCTTTTAAGAAATGAAGATTGTTGTAATGGATATATGAAAACATTTCATCTATTTTCTGTTTAGTTGAGCTTCCTCGCCCACCGCTGCTGCCCTTGCCGAGTGTTCACTGCATTCCACTCCAAATTGTCTGTGCTTTGTGCCAATTAGCAACTAATTTACGCTCATTTTATTTTGTCGTACTCAAATACAAATTCCATTCAACCAAAACATTTTCAACAAAATTATTTCAAATTGAGATACGAATTTTTGTCTCATTCAGCTTTACTCATTTTTAGCTGACTAGCTAATAACTTGTATGCCAAACAAAAGCGATGGACGTGTGGGTGACTGGCTAATAGATATGCTGTTATATTGAGAAGCGAACTCAGAAAATTAAAATTAATTCCAACGGGC